CCCGGCGGGCTCCCGCGTCATCCCGGCCGCTCGGCTGCGCGCTATTTCGGGCTCCGGGCACTATAAATAGAGGCTAGCGAGCCGAGCCGCCCCCCTGGATTCGGGCCCCTCAGTGTCCCCTGGGCCGCAGCGATCGCCTGGCCGCGCGTCACCGCCGCTAAGTTTAGAGGCGGGGGTTGGGGTTGGGGGGACACTGTCCAGGTCCTTGTGTCCGTCCCCCCCACCCCACCGCACCCCGGGGGGCTCGCAGCTGTCCTCTGGGGACCCCTGGGACGAGGGGCGCGCTGGGCGCAGGGTGGACTTGGGGTGGAGGCCTGCGGGAGGCAGGGAAGCCATCAGGACCCCGGGCCGGCTCCGGTGCGCCCGGAAGGAGCGTGCGGGGTCCGAGCGCGCGCCGCGGAGAGCCCGGGACCCGCGATTCTGCGCGACCGGAGCTGGCAGGTTCAAGTTTGTGCGTGGAAACCAACTTGCATGCGCGCGACAGCTTGCCCCGCGCGCTTCCATCCGGGGAGCCCGGGTCAGCGGGGAACCCGGTCGGGGGCCTCCCGAGCGCCCATCGTGGAAGTCGCGCCCCCGAGGGTGTTGGGGTGTTGGGGTGTTGGGGGGCTTCTCGCTCCGGAGCGTCGGGCGTGGCGCCACTGCCCTCTGGTGGAGGTGGCGCTAGTTGCAGGTGGACATCTGGCCGTTCCCCAACTGGGAAACTGAGTCAGGTCCCGGTTGGTCTCTTTCCGGAAAAGCACTTTTTTAAAATAAGATTTTATTTCACTTGTATTTTTATTGGAAAGCCACATTTACAGAGAGGGGAGATAGAGAGGAAGCCGACTGCCCGGGAAAGCAGTCGAGGACGGCCCAAAGCCTTGGGACCCTGCACCCGCGTGGGAGACCTGAAAGAAGTTTCTGGATGCTGGCTATAGATTGGCTCAGCTCTGGCCATTGCAGCCCCTTGGGGAGTGAAGCAGCAGATGGAAGATCTTTCTCTGTCTCTCCTTCACTTTCTGTAACTCTGCCTTTCTTAAAAACAAACAAACAACTTAAAACAATTAAAACCAAAGTTTATTTCAGTCTGTTTATTCAAAATCCATTGTAGCTTTTTCATAATACACATTATCCCAAAATTTTAAATACCTCCACAGGTGCTCAAAAATGCAGATAACCAAGAAATGAAATCAGGGCATTTGGCATGGCGAAGTGACGATGGTGCTAGCGGTACCCACTTCCCTAGCAGAGTGACTGGGCTCAAGGCCCGGCCACTTTTGCCCATCTGCTGGTGTCCCTGGGAGGCAGCAGGGGCCGGCCCAAGTGCCTGGCTGCTGTAACCCACCGGCTGGACCTGGATGGAGCTCCTGGCTCCTGGATTCAGCCTGGCCACCAGGTCTGGCTGCTGTGGTCACCTGGGGAGTGAAGCAGCAGACGGAAGATCTTTCTGTAAATCAGACCTGCCTTTCCAACAAAAATAAATCTTAAAAAAAAAAAAGTCAGCAATTGCAGATGGAGACATCATGGCTCCCTGTGTGGACACAACCGGACAGGGGACATCCTGGGAAGGAACTCAGTGCTGTTGCTTCCTTCCACGCAACTCTGAATGCCGAACCCATGGGCGCCCTGCAGGTGGCGCTGTGGGGCAGCTGCCGCCACAACAGCCCAGCCTGTCTGCCCAGGGCATGGTCAAGGGTACTTATTTCTTTAAAAATTTTATCTTTGATAATGTTTACGCAGTTGATTAGGTAAGGTGGAATGGTCCAGGACGAGGGGAAAGCAGATGAGTCCACTATTTCCACACCTTCCTGTATCTGTGGGGAGACAAGGGGAGAAGCCATACCCAGCCTTCCATCTGCCTTAGTACCCATGGGTACGGAACGGCCACCCGATGTCATCCCAGGGTCCTCAATGGGGAGTATGTTCTGAGGGTTCTGTTCCAGTGGTGTTTCAATAGTTCTGACATATCCAGCTTGTACATCCAAGGATGAGGAAATCCCCCCAAGGTCCATGGGCTGACGCAGCCCACCCCGAGTCTCCGTTCACCCAGAAAATTACTCTCAGGCTTCTCTGTGGAAGCTGACCAGTTGATTCTGCCCTTCTTCCTCTGCTCTGGTACCAGATGTCGTCCGCAGGCTCCGAGCGACTGCCTCATGCTCCACGGGCATCTGGGCATGCTCTGCTCTGCAGCATCTTCAGTAACTGAGGGGGCCCCGTTCACACACAGGCTCTCCACTGTGTGGGCACAGGTCCTTTTTTTTTAATTCTTTTTTTTATTTTTAAGATTTATTTATTTATTGGAAAGGGAGATATACAGAGAGGAGGAGAGACAGAGAGGAAGATCTTCTGTCCGATGATTCACTCCCCAAGTGAGTGCAACGGCCGATGCTATGCCGATCCAAAGCCAGGATCCAGGAACTTCTTCCAGGTATCCCCCACATGGGTGCAGGGTCCCAAAGTTTTGGGCCGTCCTCGACTGCTTTCCCAGGCCACAGGCAGGGAGCAGGATGGGAAGTGGAGCAGCCAGGATTAGAACCGGCGCCCAAATGGGATCCTGGCGTGTTCAAGGTGAGGACTTTAACCACTAGGCCATGCTGCCAGGCCCCCATGGTTGGAATTCTGAATGCAGCAGTTTATTTGAGGGGACCCTCAAAGAAATCTCATCTGAGGTGATCCCTGACCTGTGTGTGCCCGCCAGTCCAGGGTCCAACTCCTGTCACCCACAGCAGCCTACACACACACTGATAGGTATAATTGCTGGGTCAGATCTAGCTCCTGCCCATTCCTTTTTTTGTAAGATTTTATTTATTTTTATTGAAAAGTCAGGTGTACAGAGAGGAGAATCTTCCATCTGCTGATTCACTCCCTAAATGGCCGCAATGGCCAGAGCTGCGCTGATCTGAAGCCAGGAGCCTCCTCTGGTTCCCACGCGGGTGCAGGGTCCCAAGGCTTTGGACCGTCCTTGACTGCTTTCCTAGTCCACAAGCAGGGAGCTGGATGGGAAGTAGGCTGCTGGGATTAGAACCAGAGCCCACATGGGATCCCGGTGGTGACCTTAGCTGCAAGAACCTTCGCTGCTAGACTACCACGTTGGGGCCCCAGCCTCATTTCTTATAGAAACCAGTGGGTGCTACATCCCAGCCCAAAGCCGCCCACCACACACTGGGCCTTCACGCACACCAGCAGGAGTGATCCCCGCCTAGCCTCACTGGGCCAGCCCCCATCCCCGATTCCTGTGCCTGCCAGCAGGTGCAATGGACTGGTCCTGTCAGCTCTCATATACGCCACTGGGAGTCGATGCCTAACTCAACTGAACCGACTCCCCTCTCCAGCCCTCACTCATGCCGGCAGGTGCCATGGCCTGTCTGCCCAGACTCAGCCCCTGTCCCGATTCTCCTGTTTACCAGTGGAAGTGAATGGCAGTTATTTTTTGGCCAAAATTCTCATATTCTCCTTACCGTGATCCCTGGTAACACTTCACCCTCGCCATGGCTGTCGCTGCTATACCCGTGGGTTAGCCTGCTGCTTGCAACGCTCACATGCCACGCAGACATGCAGGCTCCAGTTCCAGCTGCTCCACTTCCCATCTAGCTCCCTGGCAGTACATCTGCAAGGTGGCTCAAGTGTCGGGGCCCTTGCCACACGGGTGAGAGACCTGGGCACAGATTCGCGCTCCCTCGTGCAGCCCTGGCTGTTGCAGGCATTTGGGAAGTGAACCAGTGGATGGAAGATGGGGGTGTGTGTGACACTGTCTTTAAGTAGAGACGTGTACTGAAGTGATACAGAATTATTATGCACCGCAGGTCACGTCCTAACCCTGGTATGCCAGTAGGTGAGTTCATGTAGACCCAGGACCTTCCCCGGGGCAGCTTTAAGGTACCGTGAGTCACGAGAGTGGGCCCCATGCTATGTGACCAGTGGGGTCAGAGTGGGGGTGATATGGACTCCCCGGAGTGACACAGGCCAGCCACAAGGAGGAACCAACACAGCCACAGACACCCCGCGGGCAGTCCCATGTGTTCATGGGAATACGGAAGGTGATAAAAACAGAAATGCAAGGGGCCAGCAGTGACACAGCAAGCTAATCCTCCACCCGCAGCACTGGCATCCCATAAGGGCGCCGGTTCTAGTCCTGTCTGCTCCCCTTCCCATCCAGCTCCCTGCCTGTGGCCTGGGAAAGCAGTCTAGGATGGCCCAAAGCCTGGGGACCCTGCACCCCCCTGGGAGACCTGGAAGAGCTTTTGGCTCCAGATCAGCTCAGTTCCAGCCATCACGGCCATTTGGGGAGTGAAGAAGAAGACGCAAGATCTTGTTCTCTGTCCTTCTCTCCCAGTAAGTCTGACTTTTCAAGCAAAATAAGTAAATCTTAATAAATAAAGTTTAAACCGGGGAGGAAGTACCGGTTGCGTGTTCCACTGAGTCAGAACTGGAATCCACAAGGTAAAAGGAACAGAGGATATGAGCAAGCCATTCGAAGGACACAATACAGGAGAGTTGTAATCCCACAGCGAGCCGCAGGCCCCTTAGTAATCAGAGTTAGTGCGGAGTGATGCCAGCCGCCCAGGAAGTGACTAAGGGAACTCCAAGTCATCAGCCAGCTCCCGTGGACTAGGTGTCCCTTCCTCCAGGAAGCCTTCCGGCCTCCTTGGGCCGACCCGGGGCTCCCCCAAGCCTACTCCAAGCCCCTGGGGTCTCACCCGAGACGCGCGCCCCTACCTAGGGACACAAGGGTCTCCCCCCAATCCGGACACCACACAAAGCACCTCTCTGTTTAGGGAAACTGAGGCCCAAGTGGATTCCAACCCATACAGGCGCTTAATAGGGGCAGAGGGACGAGCCGCTTGGGGAGACAGGTGCCCAGGTGAGCAAACCCACAACTCCCAATGCCCCAGGAGCAGCGCGGTCCTCCAAGGTCATAGAGTCGCGCGGGGACCGCCCCCCTTTACCCCCAAGTGCTGTGGGGGCGGACTCAAGGGCCAGAGAGGCCGGAAGTGCGGCGAGCCTGGGGGCGCGCTAGGCACCGGAGCGCTGGGACATCTCGATCATCCCCGGGCCCGGTTTCTCGCGGCTGCGCAGTGAGGAGGTGAGAAGCCGCGGAGCGTCGGGCCCGAAGACCCGGCCCAACAGAGCGGGAAGGAGAAAAAAAACAAAGATCACGGCTGGAGATTGGCAGCTGTGGGATCCAATCACGGTGGTGTTAGAGAGAGCGAGGGATCCAGGTAGGAGCCCGAGCTGGGGGCGGGACCAAGAGCACGCGGTGGGCGGGGCCAAGCGTGCGGCGCTCGTAGGGGCGGGGCGACGCAGAGAGGACCGGTCCAGGGGGCGGGGCTTGTCCGAACTCGGGGTGCGGAGAGCTAGGGAACCCCGAGATGGTCGCGGGGCAGGGGCAGGGTCGGGGTCGCAGCTGTGAGTGCGGGGCCGAGTAACCCAGATGCCGAGGCCTCAGTCACTTCCGCCGCTGCGTGTTTCTCTGCAGGCTCCTGATGGAACCCGGAAAAGCTGAGGAGGGGGTGCCGCCTGCCGCGGGGGCCCCCGTAAGGAAGAGATTCGTCATCCCCCTGGACGACGAGGCGGTCCCTCCCGCTGGGGTACGACTGGGGCGGGCACTGGGAGGCCAGGGGGCTGTGAGTGTTGGAAGGAAGCGGGGTGACCTGCCAGGGTGTGGGTTAGGAACTGCTGGGCGGCTTGGGGAAAGCAGGCCTTAGTTTGCACATCTGTGAAATGGCAGGGTGGCTTCCGAGATGACCGGAGCTGGGGGCACCGCACTTGGGGTACCCAGCCCTGCCCCCCAAGACGGCCCTGATGGCTTCCTTCCTCCTTGCAGGCCAAGCCCTTGTTCAAATCCACACGCAGCCTCGCCACCTCGGGGACCCCAGAGACCCCGGCCCGGCCAGCTCCCCAGACCTATGCGGAGTATGCCATCTCCCGGCCTCCGGCAGAGGCTGCAGCGCCGTGCCCCCCGGCCGTGGAGCCCCTGGCCGACGAGGCCCCCAACCAGGCCCTGAAACCCGGGACGAAGTCCAATAGCATCATTGTGAGCCCCCGGCAGGTGAGGTGACCCTGGGGGGCTGCAGAGGAGGGGGAGCAGCTAGAGGGGTCACTGTGGGCACTGGGCGGTGGCAGAGCTGAGGTCCATCCTGTGGCCATTCATTCGTTCCTTCAGTCAGTCAGCCAACAACTCCCAGGGGGTTAGGGTGCTCGCACCTGTTTTGCTGGGGCTGTGACTGTGTTTGTAGGCTGTTTCCAGTCCTCTGACTTGTCCAGCTGTTCACATGTAGCGGAATGCGGGGGGAGCAGGCAGGGGACTGTGGCACAGCAAGTGAAGCCACCACCTGCAGTGCTGGCATCCCATTTCTGCTGCTGCTTCCTGCTGACAGGCTGGGGAAAGCCACGGAGGATGGCTCAAGTGCTTGGGGCAGTGCCCCGGCATGGTAGATTAGAACATGCTTCTGGCTCCTGGGTCTGCTCTGGCTCAGCTTCTGCCGTCAGGACCATTTGGGAAATAAACCAGTGACTGCACGATGGCTGCAGTGGCTGGAGCTGAGCTGATGCAAAGCCAGGAGCCAGGAGCTTCTTCCAAGTCTCCTGTGCGAGTGCAGGGTCCCAAGCGCTTGGCCCATCCTCTGCTGCTTTGCCAGATCATAAAGAGGGAGCTGGATTGAAGGGGAACTGTTGGGACTTGAACCCAAGCACATAAGGGATGCTAGCACAACAGGTGAAGGGCTAGCTTGCTCTACCACTGCCCCACATCTATGTACCTTTCAAATAAATGAATAAACCTTAAAAAAAGTAAAAATAAACAACCCCTAAACACGATGAGGCCCTTCTCAGCTGCCAGGCATCTGAAAATGGGGTGAGAGGGAGCCTTCACACCTGCTGGTGGGAATGTAGATTTGGGGCCACCCGTTGGGGACAGATGGCCTGGGCCATCCTTTGAGTGAATGAATCAAGAGTTCCCAAATGAGAGCCTGGCGCGATGGCCTAGCGGCTAAAGTCCTCGCCTTGAATGTGCCAGCATCCCATATGGGCGCCGGTTCTAATCCCAGCAGCTCCACTTCCCATCCAGCTCCCTGCCTGTGGGACCCTGCACCCGTGTGGAAGCTCCTGGCTCCTGGCTTCGGATGGGCTCAGCACCAGCCATTGTGCTCACTTGGGGAATGAGTCATTGAACGGAGGATCTTCCTCTCTGTCTCTCCTCTCTGTACCTGTGATTTTGCAATAAGAATAAATAAATTAAAAAAAAAAGTTCCCAGGTGACCCGCCCATCCCCACTGCAGGCCAAGCAGGTACGTCTGGCGGGCTTTTCCCGTGTTGGCACCCCCGGCCCTTTCCTCTTTGTACCCGCAGGCGCAGCCCTGGGTGGACATGATACCCTTGCTGTGTCTGTCAGTTCACAGCCATTGGCTCGTTGGCACTGTCTGTGATCAGAAATGGGGCCGTCTGGCACATGGGCACGCAGGCTGTGGCGTGGCCGCCTGTTGGCCATCTTCTGGGGTGTGGATATAAGCCCACCCCTGCCAGGCACTGTGGGAAAACCACCCCCAAGGCTGATTGACCTACATGCCAGTCACTTTTTTGTTGTTCGTTATTATTCTTTTTTGTTTTTGTTTTTTTTTATTCTTTTATGTTGTTGTTTTTAAATTTATGTTTGGGTTTTTTTGGTGATACATGCCAGTCACTTTACATTCCATTGTCACTTGCTGAGGCTGGCGGGGGCCCCACTACCCATCACTGCCTTTCTAAAGATTTTTAAAATATTTATTTGAAATGGAGATTCACATAGAGAATGAGATGGAAGCACCTGCTCATTCACTCTTCACATGGCTGGTGGGGACCCCAGTCCCGGGCTGTCACCTGCCAGCAGCACCTGCTTGTGGGGACCCCAGCCCTGGGCTGTTACTGGCTGCTTTTCCAGCGGCACTAGCAGGAAGCAGAGCCATTGGACTTGAACCGGCACTTCGACGTGGGATGCCGGCATCCGAGGCTGTAGCTTAATCTGCTGTACCAGTGGTGGCCCCGTCACTGTTTGCTGTGGCTGCCATAGCTAGAGCTGGATCCAACCCACGCCAGCAGCCCGGTGCAGGTCTTCCACTTGAACGCTGCCTCCTGGGCCTGCAACAACAGGAAGTTGCACTAAAAGTGGAGTGCCAGGATTCAGAACAACACTCCAGTCTGGGACGTGGGCAGTGCCATAAGTTGCTTAACCCACTGTACTGCATCATCCATTCCCAAATGGATTGTGTAACTTCCAGACCCAAGCTCCCCCACCTTCTTTTTGCTTGTATCCACTCCAGTGGCTGGCTATAAGGTGAACAAAGTAAAGCTTTCACAATTGAAGTTGGGGAGTGGCCAGTACTGGGGTGCAGTAAGCAAAGCTGCTGCCTACAGTGCCAGCAATCCACATGGGTGCCGGTGTGTGTCCCGGCTGCTCCACTCCTGACCCAGCTCCCTGCTGACATACCAACAGAGGATGGCCCAAGGGCTTGGGCCCCTGCCACCTGGGTGGGAGGCCCAGATGGAGTTCTGGGCTCCAGGTTTTGGCCTGGCCCAGCCCCCGCTGTTGCAGCCATTTGAGATAGTAAACTAGTCAGTGGGTGAAAAAACATGTGTGTCTTTGTCACTCTGCCTCTTTTTTTTCATTTGAAAAGCAGAGTTAGAAGGAAGCAGAGAAAGATCTTCCATCAGCTGATTCACTGCGCAATGGGCCACAATGGCCCCAGGCTTGGCCAGGCTGAAGCCAGTGGGTGCTGCTGGGGCCCAAGCCCTTGGGCCATCCTCCGCTGCTTCCCCAAGTGCTTTGGCAGGGAGCTGGATGGGAAGCAGAGCAGCGGGGGGACTTGGTGCCCACATGGGATGCCAGTGCTGCTGGTCGCAGCTTGGTCTGCCTCGCCTCACACCACAGCGCCAGCCCTGCTCTTGTCCTCTGCACCTGAACGGACGGGACTGGCGATACCTTTGGCCCTTGGTGAGCCACCTGCCCTCAGGCGCTGCCCCTCCCTGGTGGTCAGGAGCTGGAACTGTGATGACTCGCCCGTGTGGCCTGGGCAGGTCACCGGATGCTCCTACCGCAGGGACATTCCTGAGGACTTAGGGGGCTTGGGTGATGTTATCATGTAGGAAATGACCAAGGTCTCAGGTCATCCTGTGTCTCAGGACCCGGGGTCAAGGGTCACACTGCACACATACACACACACTGTCCTGGTGTCCCTGCCTCAGAGTCAGGAACTGTGTGGCAGTGCCCCCAGGAGCGTGGACATGGCTGTCCTGGTCCCTGTTGCTTTGTCTGACAGCTGCTCAGGAGATCTGAGTGGCAGAGCTTGCCTTGCAGGGCCTGCAGCGTGTCCTGGGGAGGGAGTGAGGAGGTGGGGTGGGGTCAGGACAGAGCAGGTGCAGGGATGGGAACCCATTTGTGAAGGCAGTGAGGAAGGAGTGTCTCGCACCCCCACACCGGGGCTTTGAAGGGTACGGCCCAAAGTAGGAGCCAGGGTGGACAGCCAGGGGGATGCATCCAGTGAGTGCCAGGGCATGCGGAGTGGGGTTGCGGGGGAGGGCTATGCTGGAGGCAGCCCTCCCCTGAGGGACCCTGGGGAGGGACAGGACCTGAGGGAGAGCAGGGGTGGAAAGAGGGGGCGCGGTCCAGGCCCTGGCCCTAGGGGTCATCTGGGGTAACACCTGTCCTTCTCTCCGCAGAGAGGTAACCCCGTGCTGAAGTTTGTGCGCAACGTGCCCTGGGAGTTCGGTGAAGTCCTTCCAGACTATGTGCTGGGCCAGAGCACCTGCGCCCTCTTCCTCAGGTGAGCTAGGAGCCGGCCTCTCCTGGAAGGCCTGGGCTCTGGGCCCCTGGGGATGAAGGGAGGATCTTGGCCTGCAGGTGCCCAGAGGAATAAGAGCTGGGGGCCTGGACCCCTGGGTGTGAGGGAGGAGGGGCTGGACCCCTGGGTATGAGGGAGGAGGGGCTGTGCTGGACCCCTGGTGTGAGGGAGGAGGGGCTGGGCTGGACCCCTGGGTGTGAGGGAGGAGGGGCTGCACCCCTGGTGTGAGGGAGGAGGGGCTGGACCCCTGGGTGTGAGGGAGGAGGGGCTGGACCCCTGGGTGTGAGGGAGGAGGAGCTGGGCTGGACCCCTGGGTGTGAGGGAGGAGGGTCTGGGCTGGACCCCTGGGTGTGAGGGAGGAGGGTCTGGGCTGGACCCCTGGGTATGAGGGGGGAGGGGCTGTGCTGGACCCCTGGTGTGAGGGAGGAGGGGCTGGGCTGGACCCCTGGGTGTGAGGGAGGAGGGGCTGCACCCCTGGTGTGAGGGAGGAGGGGCTGGACCCCTGGGTGTGAGGGAGGAGGGTCTGGGCTGGACCCCTGGGTGTGAGGGAGGAGGAGCTGGGCTGGACCCCTGGGTGTGAGGGAGGAGGGTCTGGGCTGGACCCCTGGGTGTGAGGGAGGAGGAGCTGGGCTGGACCCCTGGGTGTGAGGGAGGAGGGTCTGGGCTGGACCCCTGGGTGTGAGGGAGGAGGGGCTGGACCCCTGGGTGTGAGGGAGGAGGAGCTGGGATACCTGTATTCCTTGATCTGCCTCCCAACTGGAGTTGACAAGATCGGAGATTCCACCCCGCACCCCAATTTAGTCCTCGCTTTTTCCCTGGGGCCCACAGACCTGGGAAGGTGTGAGCAGACGTCTGACAGTCCTCAGGCCCATGCCCCATTCTCGTGCCAGTCCCTTCCCCTCCTCGGTGAGCAGCGGGGTCCCGGCTTGCAGACCCCTCCCGCCCGTGTCTGCACCCTCAAACCCTCAGGGGGCGTGCAGGCCCTGAGGCCCCTCTCCGCCCCCAGCCTCCGCTACCACAACCTGCACCCTCACTACATCCACGAGCGCCTGCAGAGCCTGGGCAAGAGCTTCGCCCTGCGCGTCCTGCTGCTGCAGGTGGACGTGGTAAGCGGGGCTCCTGCCATGTTGCCCCCACCTGGGATGTGGGACCACTGGGCTTCACCCAGCTCTTGTAGAAACAAATTGAAATTCTAGGCTTGACACAAGACCACGCTTTGGGCCGGGAGCGAGATGCGGCCCCCTTTCCCAGCAGCTCATCACTTGATCGCTTCTTCCCTGCTCTGTCCTGGTCCCATGGCTCCCAGGCCTGTCCCCCTGCAGCTCCTCATTGCAGCCCACACACCTGACCCAGCCCCAGTGCCTGGGGGTGGGGGGCGTGCAGAGGGCCCAGGCAGGGCCTTTCCTACTAAGCTCCTCTCCTCCAGAAAGACCCGCAGCAGGCGCTCAAGGAGCTGGCCAAGGTGTGCATCCTGGCCGACTGCACCCTCATCCTGGCCTGGAGGTGAGCTTGGGGCTCCCCAACCCTCCCCTCTGCCTGGGATGTGTGTACGTGGCAGTGGCTGCTGCAGGGGCCTGGGAGCCTTCCCGTGCTCAGCACTGACCCGAGGGTCCCTGTGGTCCAGCCCCGAGGAGGCCGCGCGCTACCTGGAGACCTACAAGGCCTACGAGCTGAAACCTGCCGACCTCCTGATGGAAAAGCTGGAGCACAACTTCCTGTCCCGGGTGAGGCCCCCCACCCACCAGCAGCCAGAGGGGAGGCCCAGCCTTGTTGCCCACCTGGCACATCTCAGCTCTGATGCTGCCTCCTCCAGGGAGCCCAGGCCATGTCAGGTGTCTGCTAGGCCATTTGGATGATCACTGACCCAGCAGGGATGTTTCCCAGGAGGCTGTGCCTGCTTGCCCCCTCTTGCAACAGGGCACCAGGAAGCCTTGGCTGAGGAGTGAACAAAGCTGAGGTGGACTGTGCAGCGAGGACCCCACCCAGCAGGGGGTGCTGCTGGCACTGGGCGGTGACCTGGCTGTGCCCTCGGGGGTCCAGCCCGGCCGGCTTTCCTTCTCCTAACACCCCCGGCCTGCGACCCTTCTAGGTGACTGAGTGCCTCACCACTGTGAAGTCTGTCAACAAAACTGACAGCCATACACTGCTGGCCACATTCGGAGTAAGCGCTGGCTGCCCTGTCCCCCTTCTAGAAGCTTCCCACCTACTCCCTTCCCGCCTCCCTGCCCAGTTGGGACTGGGTAACTGGCGCTTCCCCCCGCCCTCCACCTGTCGTTGTCACAGTCTCTGGAACAGCTCACAGCCGCCTCGCGGGATGATCTGGCCTTGTGCCCCGGTCTGGGCCCCCAGAAGGTAAGCCCTGGGAGAGAACATGGGGTGCACAGGCACCCCAAATCAGCAAGGACTCATGTGTCAATTAGACTTATTCATTCCACTGACGCCCTGAGCAGCCAGCACTGGGCCAGGCTGAAGCCAGGAACTCCACTAGGGTCCTCCCTGGCACTTACACTGTCAGGGTCTTACCAGGAAGCTAGAATGGAGAGCAAGGCCAGGACCTGGACCTAGCCCCCTTTGCCAACAGAGGCTGACATCCCAGGCAGCGCCTACCCCAGATCCCAGTGTCTGGAGGTGCAAATGGGTGAGGTGGGGGGCCAGCCCAGGGACCTCACACAGCTGGCCTAAGACCAAATCCAGGGGCCCCCGCCCCCCAGAAGGTGGCAGGAAAGAAATGAACCCACTTCCAGAGGCTGCAAGAGGCAGCTTTAATGACTGGGCACTACCCCCTCCCGCCCTGCAGGCCCGGCGCCTCTTCGACGTCTTCCACGAGCCCTTTCTGCGCGTGCCCCGGTGAGCACACAGCCTGCGAGGACTGTCCCCCTACCAGCCCCCGGGGAGACGCTGGCCGGAGCTCCCCATTGTTTACAATAAAGCTGCACCAGGTCTGGGTGCCAGTCTGGGTACAGTCTCCACTGTTTCCATGCCTCAGTTTCCCCAGGAGTAACTACACAGGCTCCAGCTTCCTCTTCCTCTTCGGTGCATGTGTGGGTGGCATCACCGGCTCTGACGTTTCCTCTGGGTGCTCCGGCCCCAGGGCCCCGCTCTCCTCACCCTGCTTCTTTTTCTTCTTCTTCTTCTTGGACGCGCTGCCCTCCAGCCCAGGCTCTGTTCCCAGCTCGGTTGCCTCCTGCTGGCTCTGCTCTGCCTTCTCGGGGGTCACCGGAGCTGACGGTGGCTCCGCAGGACCTGGGGTCCCCAGGTCTGCTGCCCCTGGCCCTAGCCACTTCTTTTTCTTCTTTTTCTTGGTGGACATCAGAGCTGCGTCCATGCAAGGCCCAGCTGCCCCTGGTGAGGCGGGCTCCATCATGTCCCCGCCGAGCTCTGGGAACCCCGTTTCTGACTGCACGGCCCCGGGGTCTGGTTCCAGTGTCACATTCTGTCTCTTCTCCTTTTTCTTCCTCTTCTTGGGGGTCAGTGGGATGGGTTCTTCCTGCTGCTCCTTCACCTGCGGCAAAGCATCATTTCCGGCCCCCTCTGGCAGCTGCACCTGTTGGGTCTCTCTCTTTCTCTTCTTACTGGGGGAACACAGGTCCGGCTCTTCTGGAGGCGGGGCCAGAAGTGCAGGATCCAATCCCGACCCCCTGTCTTCTGCTTCTGGACTCCCCACTTCAGGCCCAGCCCCCTCTCCCCCTGGAAGCTTCTTCTTCCTCCGCTTGGTGCTAGTGGGGAGTGTCTCCAACTGCGCCTCCACCACGTGCTCCATGGCCTTGGGCTCGCTGCTGGTCATTCCCGGACACCCCAAAGCTGTGGCCATGTGCCCATTAACAGCCTCGGGCATCCGCTTCTTGCGTTTCTTCTTCTGGACCAGGGCAGGCCCTGGGATGGGTGGGTTGCCTCCAAAGGCACAGAACCGCGGCCTCAGGCCCGGAGGGATGCGTGGTGGGGGGCAAGCTGGGATCGGCTGCAGTGGGGTCCCTGACGGGGATTCTTGGGGTGCCTCAAATATCCTGAGGCAGCCCAGGGGCGCCGGGGCGCAGGTGAGTCCGCTGTCGGCCTCAGCTGACCGGGCCAGCAGGGTTGCCTCGCCGGCACCGGGTCCGGAGCTGCTGCGGACCTGGTAGCGGTGTCGCTTGCCCGCCAGCTTGCCTTTGACCGTCCCGGAGCCCGAGAGAGGCACCAGGCGCCCATTGAGGCTGTGGGGAGAAAAGAGGGCGAGGGCTCGGTCAGATCCGTTAGCTGGGCCAGCACCCTGCACCCTAGGACCCTAACACGAAGCGGGATGGGACCAGCACCCCGCACCCCGACACTCATCAGGGTGGGACAAGGCCAGCACCCTGCACCCCGACACTCATCAGGGTGGGACAAGGCCAGCACCCTGCACCCCAACACTCATCAGGGTGGGACAAGGCCAGCACCCTGCACCCCAACACTCATCAGGGTGGGACAAGGCCAGCACCCTGCACCCCAACACTCATCAGGGTGGGACAAGGCCAGCACCCCGCACCCCGACACTCATCAGGGTGGGACAAGGCCAGCACCCTGCACCCCGACGCTCATCAGGGTGGGACAAGGCCAGCACCCTGCACCCCAACACTCATCAGGGTGGGACAAGGCCAGCACCCCGCACCCCGACACTCATCAGGGTGGGACAAGGCCAGCACTCTGCACCCCAACACTCATCAGGTGGGACAAGGCCAGCACCCCGCACCCCGACACTCATCAGGTGGGACAAGGCCAGCACCCCGCACCCCGACACTCATCAGGTGGGACAAGGCCAGCACCCCGCACCCCGACACTCACCAGAGCGGGGCGAAGTCGGCCGGGGCCTGGATAAGCCACACCTCCACGTCCGGGCCCGCCAGCGTCTCCAAGGAGAACCGGGGGGTCTCGGGGTCCGGGGACATCGCTGTGAAGTTGGGGGGACAAGAGAACCGAGCGGCCCCTGCGAGACAAGGACGGCTGTTGATGCTTTCTCGCCGGCCGGCCCCGCACGCGCTGTGGGTGCACCCCACTTCCACCCTCACTTCCGGCCCTTGGCGGGGGGCCGGCGGCATGGAGCAGGCCGGTGCCGCCCGCCTCGCCCGCCGCTTGCCCGGCCCAGCGCCCCGGGCCGCCCGAGCAGCCCCCCGCGCCCCGCACGCTCACCGCCCGGCTGCGACCCCGCCATCCGGGACTCCTCTCCGCGCGCGCCCGCAGCCAGCCCCGACCACGTGGGTGCCGGGGGCGGGGCCTCACCCGGGAGCGCCCACATGGCGCCCGAACGCGGGGGACGCCGCCGAGCGCCCGACCGCTCTGGGGGCAGCCCCGGGGGCGATCTCCACGATGAACGGCAGCAGCACGAGAGGAGTGCGATCTTATTATCTAAAAATCGCTGAAAAAACAGCGTAGTCGCTAATTCTCAGGAAGCGGAGCCTCGCCATGCTTCGGCGGACCTCCCACAGGGTTTCCGTATGGTTCATTCCAGCCCCGCCCTCAAGAGGCGGTCTCCGTGAGAGGATTTTTTTTTTTTTTTTTGGCTCTTAAAGGGACAGGACGATGGTTTGGGCTGACGTTCGGAAGAAGCAGGTAGGGATCGCGGCCCGCAGGGACGCGCTTTCCCGGTTCCCTTCAAAGCGCTGATCGGCGGCCGAGGAGGCGCCGGTGACGCTGCAGGCCGAGCGGTGACGCGTGGGGGCGGGGCCTCGGGGAGCGGGAAACGCGGGGGAGGAGCCTGTGGTCGGGGGCGTGGCCGCAGGGCGTGGCCTGCCAGGGGCGGGGCTTGCACCCACCGTGACATGCGTGGATGCGCGCGAGGACCTGGTGTGGCGCGTGGTCCACGTTGGCAGGGCTGTTGAGGGAAGGGAGGGGGGCGTCCCGACCGGCGGCCTCTCCCCGGCCCGACGTGGACGAGGACCCGGGGGACGCCCCCACGCCCCGCCGGGACTGGAGCGCGTGGGGCGGCGGGTGGAGCCGCGGGACGGCGGCGAGACGGGGTGACCCGACTGCATTCCTGGCCGGTGTGTCAGCGCCGCTTTCCTCCTCTGCCAAGACTTCAGATCCTGCTCCAGGACGGAGGCGGCCGCTCTGCTCCCCGGGAGGGAGACGACTCTCCGGGGCGGACGGAAGGGCCCGAGGGCTCCACACGGCTCCCCGCCGCGCGTGGGGGCACACGCATTCCAGGGAGCCGCCCCTCAGGGCTCTGGGACTACAATTCCCAGAAGGCCCGAGGCGGCGAGAAGCTGGATGTAGGCCGTGGAGGCTGCTGGGGATTGTAGTCCAGCCCCTCGACTGGGCGCTTGCTGGGTGGGCTGATAAAGTTCTTAAATTGCAGCCCTCCCCCACATCCCCCCCGCCCCGCCTTTTTAAAAATTTTATTTTTATTTACCGAGCAGGAGATTGAGGCTCCGAGTCCCGGGGCAATTAAACGAGGCTTTTCTCCACCTAGGGACTGGGCACTCAGGTTCTCCCGCAGTCTTGAACTTCCTAACCCTTTGGCGATGTCCCAGTCCTCTCTAAAGGCCAACAGCCTGGACGAGGTGGGAAGGGGGCTCGGGGCGCACCCGCTGGCAGCCACAGGGAGGGAGGCATCCAGGCGTTGCCGCCGGGTCTCGCTGGCCAGATCGCTCCGGGCTCCCCGGCCTCGCCCTTCCTGTCTGTGAAATGGACACCGAGCCACTGGGGGACTACAAGTCCCAAGGTGCTCGTGGCGACCTCGGCTCCCCCTCCCCGCCCCTGCGGGACCCGCCTCCCTGCAGCCCGAGTCACGTCGTCTAACCTGTTCCCGGCGCCTGCCCCGCCCCGTCCTCGGCTCCCCGCAGCCGGAGCCGGAGCCGGAGGGATCCCCCGGTGCCAGGATCTGCCCCGGACCCGTGAGTCCCACCCTCCTGGGGTCCAGCGGCCCCGAGAGGAACCCGACACCCCGCGTGCCTGGGAGAGGGTGGGGGGCCTGGGAGGGGACTCGGTGTCGGGTCCCAGGGCGGGATTCGGGGTGCGCAGATGGCGGGGCGCCTGGCAGGCTCCAACTCGGATGTCCGATGGGCTGAAACGAAGGGGTCTCGGCTGCTTGAGCTCTCGGAACGGGGGTGGGGGAGACTCGAACCTGTGGGAGCGAACATTCTTGAGTGGCTGGATTTGGGGAGGAGGGGTTCTGGGCACTCTGGCTGCTTGGGTGGGATTTGGGGAGGGTCTCAGGTGCAGAAAGGGGAAGCTCGGATTGGGGGCGATCGCGCACGTCGCCGTCCCTGCCGCCTTTCCCACGGGACGTGGGAGACGCTGGTTGGGACAGGGACAGTGGGGTGCGCGCTCGGGACACCCCCCGTCCACCCGCGCTCCCCCTCCCACTTCTCGGCTGCGTGGGGGCGGAGGCAGCTGCTGTGTGTGCCGCTGAGCGAACCCCAACATGTCATTAACCGGGGCGTCAGACCTGCCGAACCAGAGCAGGGACACCCGCCGCCCGCCCCCCTACACACTCCGCGCCCCCTGGCGGAGGCGTGCCGGGGCTCCCAGTGGCCCGGGCCGGTGGGAAAATCTGGGGTTTGCCCGAGGTCGTGCCAGAACGCGGGGTCACCGCCAAGGGGCCTGAGGGCCCCGCGCGAGAGCGCACACGGGTGTCCCGCAGAGAGGAGGGTGGAAACTGAGGCTGGGGTCGGGCAGCTGGGGTGTCGCACCGGGCGGCGGAGTGGGCTGGTCGCTCCGGGTGGGTTTTTAGCCTTCCGGCTCCAGCCAGCTTTTCTGACCAACCCGGCCGGGCTCCCGGGGCTCGTCACCCTGACCCTGAGGTGAGAAATGTCACCTCCTCCCACCCCCCATCGTGCCTGACCTGAGGTATTGTGGGAGATAAGAGAGGATCCGGGCTAATTCTGGAGGTGTCCGTCTGTCCTTGAGGCTGGGGAAGGGCGGAACCGGCTGCTCCCCCTGCGCGGGTCGTGGGGGGGCAATGGAGGAGGTGGGGGAGAGGGGGCGTTTCCTCAGTCCTGGGCTTGGGGGTGGCCAGTGATGACGTAAAAAGGATCCCCCTTGGTTGAGGGGCGTGCAGGCTCAGGGCTGCAGGCTCAGTGTGAGTGTGTGTGGTGGGGTCTGGCTTTCCCAGGCAGGGACCCTACCCCACCGATGGAAAGCTGAGGCTGGAGAGCGGGTCCCTACCCAGTGCCCACCCTGCCTGTCCCCAGAGCCTCAGGCGTGGGGGGGTCCCCACAGCTGGCATTTAGGGCTCCAGGACTCAGCAGCCCAGCCCGGGGCTCCCTCGTACCTGTGTTATCTTAATGAACCAAGGCCAGTAATTAAGGCTCTCAGGGATACGAGCTTTATCTACACTGTTCTCAATTCCCGATTCTGCCAGCTCCACGCTGGCAGCCAAAGGTATAATTCTCCCATTATCCGCACGCACGCAGGCACGAGGAAACTGAGGCACGGGGAAGAGAGATAACTGGCCCGAGGCAGGGAGTGTCAGGAGTGTCCCAGCTCATCCCACAGACATCCGCAGAAGCTCCTCCCATCCCCAGCTCCACGCCCCGTCTGCGTTCCCACCCTCCCAGGAAACCTCCTCCGGGAAGCCCACGGTCATGCTTAACCGCAGAGAACCGGACTGGGGTGCACAGGAGGCCGGTGGGGAGCGCAAGCGAGGTGGGTGGAGCGCAGAGAGGGAATCCCGGGCCTGGGTGCTCCGTGGGTGGACAGGAGCCCGTGGGAGGGGCAAGCTGGACTTGGCAGGGAGCCCGAGGAAGAGAGCCTGGGGGTGCCGAGGGCAGGGACCCGGGCCTGGGAACGGAGACGCGACCCGCGCCACCCCCGCGTCCCGCCTCCTCGCCGCGCCCGGCCCCGCTCCCCCGCCTCGGGAACTGCGGCACCTGCCCCGACCCGCCTGCGCATTCCGGGCGCCTGAGCTCAGGGCTCCGTGCGCCTCCGGGACCCGGGGCGCCCTCTGGTGCCCGGGCCCCACGCCCCGGCCGGGCATTTCCTGCGAGCTGTCAGCGGACCGTGCACGCTGGGGCCGCAGCGAGGACTCGCTCCTGTCTGTTAGCAGACACTGACCGAGTGGTGCGCGCGTGTCCGAGACTTTAAAAGCCGCGACGCGGTTGTGTTTGAGCGTGAGAAAACACAAAGTCAAGTGTGATGTTTTAAGTCTTTTTTACGCGTTTGTTGGAGAGGCAGATACAATGAAATAGAGAGAGAGGAACAGCTCCTTCTGCTGATCTACTGCCCCAAATGCCTGCAAACGGCCAGCTCGGCACAGCCAGAGGTTAGGAACCGGGTCCAGGTCGCCCGCATGGGTAGCAGGACCCAGGGACTGCAGCCGTCGTGGGCTAGCCTCCCAGGGACTCCGTGAGCGGGAGGCTGGAGTTGGGAGTTCCCACTCCACGTGGAATGCGGAATTCATAGCAGGCGCGTACCTGTGAGGCCAGCAGCAGCCCTGATGGGATGGCTTTAAAGCAGACATTTTGAAATCCAAGCACCTGGGCCCGGCGTGATAATCTAGCAGCTAAAGTCCTTGCATAACACGCACCACCATCCCATATGGGCTCCTTTTCTAATCTAGGTGACCCCACTTCCCATCCAGCTCCCTGCTTGTGGCCTGGGGAAGCAGTGGAGAACAGCCCAAAGCCTTGGGACCCTGCACCGGCATGGAAGACCTGGAAGGGGCTCCTGGCTCCTGGCTTTAGACTTGCACAGCTCTGTCTGTTGCAGCCACTTGGGGAGTGAATCATCGGACAGAAGATCTTCCTCTCAGTCTCTCCTCCGTGTATATCTGCCTTTCCAATAAAAATAAAAAATAATTATTAAAAAAAAAAGAGATCCACACACCTGCATTTTCTGCCAAGGTGTTGAGTATCTGAATCCCCTGGGTGCTGCTGCAGGGAGCTGAAGCTCACACGGCCAGCCCCCCACCTTGTTCTGGCGGTGTGACGCCCCTGAGTTCCCCTACGGCTTCAGCAGAAATGGCTTCTCACACTCCCACAACATGAACTTATCCCCCTACACTTTGTGTAGATGAAATGAAGCCAGAGGTCAGTGATGGTGTTGTCACACCGTAAATTTTTTTTTAAGATTTATTTATTTATTATTAATTACATTGCAGTATGTGACACAGTTATATAGGTACTGGGATTCCCCCTAACCCTCCCCCCATGGTGGATTCCTCCACCTTGTTGCATAACCACAGTTCAAGTTCAGATTTATTTATTTTTATTGGAAAGGAAGGTATACAGAGAGGAGGAGAGACAGAGAGGAAAATCTTCCATCCACTGGTTCACTCTCCAAATGGCTGTCGATGGCAGGAGCTGAGCTGAGCTGATCTGAAGCCAGGAGCCAGGAGCTTCCTCCGGGTCTCCCACGCGGGTGCAGGGTCCCATGGCTTTGGGCCGTCCTCAACTGCTTTCCCAGGCCACAGGCAGGGAGCTGGATGGAAAGTAGAGCAGTTGGGATACGAACCGGCACCCATACGGGATCCTGGCGTGTGCAAGGCGAGGACTTTAGAAACTAGGCTACTGTGCCAGGCCTATACTGTGATTTTTTTTTTTGTTTTTAATATTCTAGTTTTATTTAAAAGACAGTATTAGAGAGAGATCTCCTGTCTGTTGATTCACTCTCCAAATGGCTGTGGCAGCCAGTGCTGGGCTGGTCCAAAGTTGGGAGCCAGAGATTTCTTCTGGGTCTCCCATCTGGGTACAGGGGCCTGAGCACTTGGGCCATCTTCCTCTTTTTTCCCAAGCACATTAGCAAGGAGCTGGATGGGAAGTAGAGCAGCCAGGGCTTGAACTGGTGTTCATATCACAGTTGGTGGTGTAACTCACTGTGCCATGGGCGCTGGCCTCAATTCCACGAGGTCGGAACCCTTGGGTCCTGGCATGGTTTCAGGGTAGGCAGCAAGTAGTGTGAGAAACTGGAGAATTCTAAGCTGCTCCTTTCTAGAACATTCTAGAATTTTCCTAAGATAGACTCTGAGTTTTCCAAACATAGATGGGGATGGGGAATGGGGTAGGGGGGCTCTTCAAGCTTTGCTTGCTGATAGTTCCAGGGTCCTCATGCTGGAGGCTTCCAAGAGGGCTCCTCCTAGGAGAGCTAGTTCGTCACCTCCCCTCATTGTGGGGAAACTGAGGCACAAGGTGTGGCAAGGACCTGCCGTCCAAGGTCACACACACGTGAGCCGCCAGCCCTGACAGGTTCTGTTCCAGTGGCTCCCAGACCGAGGCGGGCATCAGCCTGCCCTGGCCCGCCCGGGTGCCCACGCCTGTCCTGCCAACACTGGGGAGGTGACGAGGCTGGCAGGCGTGGCGGCTGCCATGGGGATGGCCCGCCCTGCAGATGGGGCTGGCTCGAGCGGTTCCCGCTGACCCAGCGTCCTCCCACTTGGGCTGGTGACCACAAGCACGGGCCGGCGGCGTCCTGTCCCCGGTGAACAATGGGGCAGTGTGGCCAGCTTCTGGATGGGGAACTCTGGGGACAGGAAAGCAAACAGCCGGGGCCCACCCCACCCCTCCCCGGGGCCCTGCAAGGGGGTGTAGCCGGATGGATCTGGCTGTGAAACACAGCACCACTGACTCCTGGGAAAGGGGTTTTTTTTTTTTTTTTTTTTTTTTTTTTTTTGTCTTTAGAAACTGTATATGTGTGTGTGAAGATTTATTTATTTTGCGCCTGGCACAATGGCCGGATTGACTAATCCCCCCTATTCGAGCACCAGGATCCCGTATGGGCACCGGTTCTAATCCTGGCAGCCCCACTTCCCATCCAGCTCCCTGCTTGTGGCCTGGGAAAGTAGTCAAGGATGGCCCAAAGCCTTGGGACCCTGCATCCATGTGGGAGACCTGGAGGAGGCTCCTGGCTCCTGGCTTCAGATTGGCTCACCACCAGCTGTTGTGGTCACTTACGGGGTGAACCAGTAGATGGAAGATCTTTCTCTCTGTGTCTCTCCTTCTTTCTGTAAATCTGCCTTTCCAATAATAACAACAATGTTAGTAAAGAAGGCCTGGTGTGTTAGCCTAGCAGCTAAAGTCCTCAGCTCAGTTCCGGCCATTGCAGCCACTTGGGGAGTGAATCATCAGACGGAAGATCTTCCTCTCTGTCTCTCCTCTTCTCTGTATATCTGACTTTCCAATAAAAATAAAATAAATCTTTAAAAAACCAATAATAATAATATTTATTTTTTATTTGAAAGGCAGATTTACAAAGGAAGGAGAGACAGAAAGGAAAAGATCGTCCATTCACTGACTCACTCCCCAAATGGCTGCACCTAAGCCCATCCGAAGCCAGGAGCCAGGAGCCTCCTCCAGGTCTCCCACGTGGGCGCAGGGTCCCCAGGCTCTGGGCCGTCCTCTGCTGCTTTCCCAGGCCACAGGCAGGGAGCTGGATGGGAAGTGGAGCCGCCAGGACACAAACTGGCGCCCACATGGGATGTCAACATTGCAAGGTGAAGAATTAGAATGTTGAGTCACCACGCCAACCCCAGTGTGTTTCTTTTCAAAATTTATTTGTAAGACAGAATGGAAGCCTGCTGGCTCACTCCCTCGAGATGCCAGCTGCAGCCAGGGCTGGGCCAAGCTGAAGACAGAAGCCACCAATTCAATAGGGGTTTCCCACGTGGGTGGAACTCAAGTCCTTGAGCCATCCCCTGGGGGGTGTGTGTGTGTGTGTGTGCTAATTAGTGCCGGACCTGGGCCTCAGGCCTCACCAATCCCCCATGTCCACAGCGCCTAGGAGGTGATCCTTAGAGCACCCTTGAAGGAATGTTTCCAGTCCTACTCGGGCTGGGCTGAAGACGGACCAGGAGCCGCATAAAGAGAGTGGCCTGTGGAAACTTATAGGTGCTTGGTTTTTCCAGGGGCTGGGGCTGCCCAAACTTGCAGCGGGAGGGAGGTGGGGGAGTGCCGTGGGGCTCCGCCTTGCTCCTTGGTCCCCGGGAGGTGGGGGGTCACAGGCTCTGAGACTGTCCCTCCCTCACCACGCAGACGCCCCATCTGGTCAGCCGGCACCATGGACAGCGAGGCCTTCCAGAGCGCGCGGGATCTCCTAGACTTGAACTTCCAATGTGAGCTGGAGGGGTGTGTGTGGGAGGCGCCTGTGCGTGGCTGGGCCCTGGCCGGGAGACCCGTGAGTGGAGGGTTTAACATCACGCCCTTCCACCCCGACTAGCTCTGGCCATGAAGCACATGGATTTAAAGCAGATGGAGCTGGACACGGCGGCAGCCAAGGTGGACGAGCTGACCAAGCAGCTGGAATCGCTGTGGTCTGATTCGCCGGCAAACCCCAGTCCCCAGGCTGGAGCCGCCTCCAGGGTGAGCTCCGCCCGCATCTCCGCCTCCTTTCTCCCCAAAGCCAGCTTCTCTCCACCGACCAACCCCCGGCCCGAGGTCAGCCTTGCAGGTGTGCGGGGTGACCACGGGACTCCCAGAGAGAAAGAGGGCCTTCCCTGAAATGTCACGAGGGAGGTGACGCGCACGCCAGCCTCGGCTTTGAGTCAGGGCTTCTTCCCGCAGCATTGCGCGCTCACCTGCATTTCCAGCCCCACTCCTACGAGTGAACCTCGATGACCTCTGTCCACACCGCCCCTGCCCCGAGCCTTCCTTCCACCGATGGCTCTGATGACACGTTCGCGTCCCGGCCTCCCCCGCAGATGTCCCGGTACAGCTCCAGCCCGATCCCGGAGCCTTTCGGCAGCCGAGGGTCCCCACGGAAAGCGGCCACCGACAACGCTGACCCGTCGTTTGCGCGCTCGGAGAATGCCTCGACCCTGCTCCCCTACAGCCAGCTGTCCCCCAAGGGCCGGCCGTCGTCGCCGCGCACCCCGCTCTACCTGCAGCCCGATGCCTATGGCAGCCTGGACCGCGCGCCCTCGCCCCGGCCCCGCGCCTTCGACGGGACGAGCAGCCCCCTGGGCCGCGCGCCCTCCCCGCGGCCCGGCTCCGGCCCGTTGCGCCAGCAGGGGGCCCCCACGCCCTTCGATTTCTTAGGGCGCGCCGGTTCCCCGCGGGGCAGCCCTCTGGCCGAGGGACCCCAGGCTTTTTTCCCGGAACGAGGACCCTCGCCGCGCCCCCCGGGCGCCGCCTACGACGCGCCGGCCGCCTTCGGGAGCCCCTTGCTGGGCGCGGGCGGTAGTGCCTTCGCCCCGCCGCTGCGCGCGCAAGGTGAACCGCGAACTTGAACCTGGTGGACCGGGTGGCGGGGCGCTTGCAGCGGGCGCTTCACAACTTTTCTCGCGTGCGATGTCTCCCCGCAGACGACCTGACCCTGCGCCGGCGGCCCCCCAAAGCCTGGAACGAGTCCGACCTGGACGTGGCCTACGAGAAGAAGACTTCACAGACAGCAAGTTATGAGCGTGAGTCAGCGGGCGACCCAGAGGGGAGGAGACCCGACCACCCCCGTCCCCGCCCCACTGATTCCCCGACCCTAATGACCCTTGTCCCTCAGGCTTGGATGTCTTCTCACGGCCCGCCTCACCGAGCCTACAGCTGCTCCCCTGGCGAGAGAGCAGCTTGGATGGGCTGGGGGCCTCTGGCAAGGTGAGGGGTGGGGGACACTGGGCGGGATGGAGGGACCCCCTTCCCTGCCCTTCTGCATGCTTTTGCTTCCTTCTCCCGCGTTCCCCACCTCCGGGATTTTCTTGCCCACTTCTTCACCTGCTTTCCCCACTCCCCCCTCCACTTCTCCCCAGGACAACCTCACCAGCGCCACCTTGCCGCGCAATTACAAGGTCTCCCCGCTGGCCAACGAGCGGCGCTCGGATGTGGGCGGCTACCGGCGCTCCTTGGGCTCCGCGGGAGCCTCGGGCACGCTGCCCCGCAGCTGGCAGCCGGTCAGCCGCGTCGCCATGCCTCCGTCCAGCCCGCAGCCGCGCGGCGCCCCCCGCCAGCGGCCAATCCCCCTTAGCATCATCTTCAAGCTGCAAAATGCATTCTGGGAGCACGGCGCCGGCCGGGCAGTGCTCCATGGCTCCCCGGGTTTTGCGCGAGCACCCCCTCCCAAGATGACCTCCCAACCCCAGCCGCAGCCCCAGCCCCAGCCACTCCCACAGCTCCAGCCTCAACAACAGCCCCAGCCACCGCCTCTGCAGCCCCAACCGCCCCAACAACCCCAGCCCCCTACCTCTGGCCCCCAGGCCCCCCAGCAGAATTGGCCTGCTATGAACGAAGGTGAGTCAGCAATGACGACCCCAGAGGGCTGGGTTCCAGGAGGACAGGTGGCAGGGGAACAGGTCCCAGCCCACTACCCTGGGCACACACTGTCACTGGGGCGGGGGGGGGGCGGGGGGAGGGGGGTCGTCAGCTCAAGGGCAGAGCTTGAGCCCATGCTGCACGACCCTCAGCCAACAGCTGGCCTTTCCGGTTTGTTTGTATTTAGCTATTTGAAAGGCAGATTGACAGGGAGAAAGAGAGATCTTTCTCACTATTCAAATGGAGCCAGGAGCCCCTCCTGGGTCTCCTATGTGGATTCAGAGTCACCTATACACTCACACACACACTTGGGCCATCTTCTGCTGCTTTCCAAGACTTACTAGCAGGGAGCTGGATTGGAAATGGAGCAGCCAGGACAGGAACCAGCACCCCTATGGGATGCTGGTGTCATAGTGGCTTTACCTGCTGTGCCACAATGCCAACCCCTAGATCCCGTCTCATCAGGGCACGGCATCTCATCAGGGCGCGTGGAGTTCTGAACATAAGAAACCTGTTAGTGGTGGTGGTCATTATTGTCAGTTGAGATCTGGGGAGTCAAGCTAAACAGGCTTGAGCCTTTATCCACGGGGGATCATGGCACGACCAGGACAGGAAGTGCCCTGAGGTCACACAGCAGGTGCTAGAAGTTGTGGGGAGGTGGAGCCAGGAGAAGTAATGGGAGGGGTGTGCTGGAACCCTGATGGAGTTGTTGCTTCTCCCAGGCTCCCCCAAGCCCGCAGCTGCTGCCACCACTGAGTTGGAACCGGAGCCGGAGCTCGAGGGGCTGTTGGCACCTTCCCTGGAGGCCGGGGATGTGGACGAAGGCCCTGTGGCCCGGCCGCTCAGCCCCACGCGGCTGCAGCCAGCGCTGCCCCCGGAGGCGCAGTCGGTGCCAGAGCTGGAGGAGGTGGCCCGCGTGCTGGCCGAGATCCCTCGGCCTCTCAAGCGCAGGGGCTCCATGGAGCAGAGCCCCACCGTGGCCCTGCCGCCCACCCACAAGAAGCAGTACCAGCAGATCATCAACCGCCTCTTCCACCGCCACGGCGGCGCGGCAGGGCCCGGTGGTCCTGCTGAGCCCGAGCTGGCCCCCATCACTGAGGGGTCTGAGGCCAGGGCTGGGCCCCCTGCCCCTGCCCCGCCGGCCCCCATCCCGCCTCCACCGCCGCCCCAGAGCAGCCCCGCGGAGCAGCCGCAGAGCCAGGTGAGAAAGGAAGGAAAACCCGGGGTGTTTGTCAGCACTGGGATCTGGCTGCCGTGCATGACCAAAAGCTTCGTGGTATCGAGACTCAAGCCGCCTCTGCTTCCCACAAGGATGCGGTCCTGGCGTGGTGGGCGGCTCTGTGGTCAGGATCCAGGCTCTGGCCACCCTAGAGATGGTCTTGCAGCCAGAAAGCGAAAGTTGCCCCCTTGTGTTTTAAAAGCATCTGAAAGTGACACCTGTTACTCAGCTCTTCCCATTGGTCAGGAGCAGGCTGCAAGGGAGCTGGGAAATGTAGTCTTTAGGCGTCAGCGAGTTGGGGTGGGGAGGAAGGGAGGGGCAAGCAGAAGTCCCGGCTACTGAGTGTCCCCACCTGCTGGTGACTGGGTCTTGGTAACACAGAGGGTTTATTGGGTGGCCCGGAAAGCCAGCCGGACACACACACACCCTTTTGACAAAGCCTGAGTCAACCTCAAGATCATGGGTGTCCCAGGTACCTGTGCCAACGGCAGAGCCAGGCCTGCTTGGGGCACAGTCCCAGGCCGGGGCCACTTGTCAACACTAAGCAAGACCCTTGACCGCTGTGGCCCTCAGTGTCCCCATCTGTGAAATGGGGCCGCGACAACCTGTGTGCAAGGGTTACCAGCAGCACTGGCTCAAAACGGCCATAGGTGACCTGCCAGCCGTTCCCACCCCTGACCAGTCAGCCCCTACATGGTGGCTTGTCGGGGGAGGCCTGTACACAGTAAACCAAGCCCAGCACCCCAGGTTGGTAGGCAGTGGGAGCAGAGCCACTCCCAGAGGAAGGCTTGGCCAGGCTGCAGCCAGGAGCCTGGGACTCCATCCAGGTCTCCCGTGTGGGTGCAGGGCCAGGCTGGGGAAGAACAGCCGGCCTCTCTCCCATCTGGGATGCCTGTATTGCGAGCAGCGGCTCAGCTCACCCCGCCACATGTCAGCCCCAGTATTTATATGTTCAATTCTCACTTTTTTTTTTAAAAAAAAGGTGATTTTCAAAGTTTAGGTGTTCTCCTTAAACACACACACACAAACATTTATTTTTATTGGAAAGGCATATTTTACAAAGAGAAGGAGAGCAAGAGAAAGCTCTTTTGTCTTCTGATTCACTCCCCAAGTGGCTGCAATAGCCAGAGCCGAGCTGATCCGAGTCAGGAGCCTCTTCCGGGTCTCCCACGCGGGTGCAGGGTCCCAGGGATCTGGGCTGTCCTCGACTGCTTTCCCAGGCCACAAGCAGGGAGCTGGATGGGAAGTGGAGCAGTTGGGACATGAACAGGCGCCCACATGGGATTCCGGGGCTTGGAGGGGTAGATTAGCCAGTTGAGTCATCAGCATGGCTCTTGGAATCTCTTAAAGGGACCTGCATCTTGGTGAGAGTGAAAACAGGGAACAAGTGTGGCACGTTCCTGTCGGGATACGAGGGGCGGCACGTGGGGCAGCGGGTAGAGATAAGGACCTCAGGGCACAGTGTGCTGGACGGTGGCATTCCAAGCTCCCGGGGCTCGGCACAGGTGGCGTAATACCATGGTGCTACGCAGCGTTTGCTGTTGTTATGAAAGGAATTGACCGGCTGAGTTTCACAATCACTGTGTGAAAGGATAGGATGGCTTTAGAAGAAAAAACAACTTTTAAAAAAATTATGTTTATACAATTGAGAAGCATGCATGCCCATGTGGCCCACTGCTTAGGGTGGGAAGGGTGGATGAGACCCTCGTTTCCAATTTTTTGTTTCTTCTCCCTGTATCTGGGGGAAGGAAGGAGAGGGTTGCACCCAGCATCATGGATTTCAGGGTCCCAGGTTCCCACTGTGCGGATCCCAACCCTACACCCCATTGGGCGGTGGGTGTGCGGGTCTCAGGATCCTGTTCCTTCTGCCTTCCCCCGCAGGAGATGCGCTCGGTGCTGCGGAAGGCTGGCTCCCCGCGCAAGGCCCGCCGCGCACGCCTCAACCCGCTGGTGCTGCTGCTGGACGCGGCGCTGACCGGGGAGCTGGAGGTGGTGCAGGCGGCGGTGAAGGAGGTGAGGGGCTGCGGAGTGGGGGGGAGGTGGGGAGACGGAGGTGAGGGGCTGCAGAGTGGGGGCCGTGGGGGGAAAGAGGTGAGGGGCTGCGGAGCGGGGGGAGGTGGGGAGACGGAGATGAGGGGCTGCAGAGGGAGGTGGGGACGGCGGGCTGACCACGCTGACCCGGGAGCTGGAGGAGGTGAGGGAGGTGCGGGGCTGCAGAGGGAGGTGGGGACGGCGGGGTGACCACGCTGACCCGGGAGCTGGAGGAGGTGAGGGAGGTGATGGAGGTGAGGGAGGTGAGGGGCCACCGTGGGGGCCCTGCGAGGCTGAGCCTCCCCGCTCCGCCGGTCCACGCAGATGAACGACCCGAGTCAGCCCAACGAGGAGGGCATCACGGCCCTGCACAATGCCATCTGCGGTGCCAACTACCCCATCGTGGACTTCCTCATCGCCGCGGGCGCCAACGTCAACTCCCCGGACAGCCACGGCTGGTGAGCCAGGGGGCGGGCGAGGGGCGGGGCTGAGCTTGGGCCCAGCGTTGGGGGCGGGGCCGGATAGGGCTTCTAGGGGCGTGCCAAGCATTGGGGGCGGAGCGTACGCATTGATGGGGCGTGCCCAGGACCAATGGGATGCCGGGGGACGTGGCGTGGAGAACAAGGGCGTGGCATTGTGGGGCGTGGCATTGAGGAGCGGTGTGGGACTGAGGGGTGTGTCCAGGGGCTGGGGGCGTGCCCAGGGACGGGGCGGGGCTGAGGGGCGTGACGCGGGGCTGGGGGCGTGCCCAGCGCCGAGGGCCGGGCGTCGGCCGCGCATGCTCACACCTCCGTCCTGTGCCCAGGACCCCGTTGCACTGCGCGGCGTCCTGCAACGACACGGCCATCTGCATGGCGCTGGTGCAGCACGGCGCTGCCATCTTCGCCACCACGCTCAGCGACGGCGCCACCGCCATCGAGAAGTGCGACCCGTACCGCGAGGGCTACGCCGACTGCGCCACTTACCTGGCAGGTGCGAGGCAGGGCTGCGTGGGGCTGGGTGTGAGCAGGACCTCGCGGGAGGGGAGCTGGCGTGCCAACAGCGGAGGGGGAACTGCGCACCGGGCGCCTGCAGAGCGCTGGGCTGTGCGCTCAGCTGCGGAGATGACATGTTGCACGGTTCTGTACCACCGTCCAGCGGGCGCAGGGCTGGGCAGGTGGCCTCCACCCTGGGGAGGCCGGAGGTGGTGGTCCCCATGGGACAGCTCCCCGCCTTCCCCTTATGCCCTGGGGGACGAGGGAGGCTCTGCCTTGGGACCCTGCGGGGAGGGGGCTGCAGGAGGGCGAGTTGGACCCTGGCCTGCAGGAGGGGTCGCAGGGACGGGCAGGAAGAACATCCCTAGGACGACGCCCAGGCAGCCCTCCCTTCACCTCCTGGCACCTGCTCCTTGTAGACGTGGAGCAGAGCATGGGGCTCATGCACAATGGCGCGGTGTACGCGCTGTGGGACTACAGCGCTGAGTTTGGAGACGAGCTGTCCTTCCGTGAGGGCGAGCCGGTCACTGTGCTGCGGAGGGACGGGCCCGAGGAGACTGACTGGTGGTGGGCTTCGCTGCACGGCCAGGAGGGCTACGTGCCCCGAAACTACTTCGGGGTGAGTCGTCGTGTGCGTGGCCAGTGGTGGAACAGAGGAAAAGTTCATTTACTCAGTGCATTGGGGGTGCGCAGGTGGGGGGAGCCAGTGAGGTGGTCGCCGCACCCCCGGGCTGGTGGACTGTGAGTGGGTTGGTCATTTGATGTGTTGGCATTTGCTCACACGTGATTCTTCTGGTCCCCGATCTTAGTGACACTTGTGGAAGAGTGTCATTAAGATGGGAGGGGGGAGGAAGGTGCTACATTCCCCATTCAGGAAGGGGGGGCCCAGGGAGGACGAGGACGTGGGTGGAGGTGGGCCAGGTGGGGAAACATGGGGAATCTCCCATCTTATCCCCTGCTGCCCCAGTGCAAGCCTGGTCCTGGTGGACACTGGGAGGAAGGCACCCAGGACAGACTTGGGGTGGAGTGGCAGGAGGGGAGCTCCTGGGCCTGATGACCCTGTGGCTCCCCCAGCTCTTCCCCAGGGTGAAACCGCAGAGGAACAAGGTCTAAACTGGATGGACGGATGCTCAGCCAGGAGGCAGGAGTGGTCAGATCCGCGTGACTTCATCATACACCTTGCCCTCCTGGCCTTGCTGTGTGCCCCCGCGCCCTAGCCCTAAGGGGCAGGCTCCTGGTTCTCTGCTTTCCCACCAGCCACCCCTGCCCCTGGAGTGGGGGCAGAATGGAAGTGCCTCTCAGTTTAGTGGTGACCCACCAGTGGGGTGTGGAACCACTGAGGGCGGGCACGCCCCCACGCCTTTGTCTTCCCAAGTGCCTCCCACTCCCTCCACAGTCGCAGCCCCCCAGCTAGCACAGCTGGGGCTGGGTGACCTGCCAACAGCCCTGGGCGCTACCTGCCCACCTCCTGTCTTCCAGCAGTCTCTGGGACCCCGGGGGAGGCAGGCTGCCACCTGTTAAGTGCCTTGCCCAGAGGGAGCAAGGGGTTGTGCATTTATAGCCATGGGGGCAATGTGCTCTTTATAAATAAAGATAGTTTGCACAGAAATTGTCTGCTACTGATTGGGCCCTGGATCCAGGCACACTGGGTGTCGGGTTTGGGGTACTTGGTGAGCCGGCCTTCTGGGAGCTTCCATCAAGGTGGTTCTGTCGGGTTCTGTGTGTCAGAGTCCACACCTGCAGGCAGGTGCCCTTCTTCCCACAGCAGGCTGTCCACTGGCCGTTGCTTGCTCACCTGGTGGCAGTGCTCGTCCAGTAAACCCTGGCCAACTCCCGTGGCTTCCTGTTGGCTGTGCCCCCAGGATGGTCTTCCAGCTCTTCCAGGTCACTTTTGTGTCACTTGGCCTCTCTGGACATTTATTTATTCTTTGTAAAGATTTGTCGGTTGCAGGCCCAGTAGGCTAACCTTCCATTAGCATGCACTAGGATCTCAGGCATACTGACTCGTGTCCCAGCTGCTCCACTTCCCATCCAGCTCCCTGCTTGTGGCCTGGGAAAGCAGCAGAGAAAGGCTCGAGGCCTTGGGCCGCTGCACCCGTGTGGGAGACGCTGAAGAAGCTCCAGGTTTCGGACAGGCCTAGCCCTGGCTGTAATTGCGGGCAAGGGGTGTCTGTCTGAAGCAGCTCCCCTGGGTCCGCCTTGTTCTTTTAAGCCGGCTGCAGGTCCCAGGCTGCCTGCACTTCCGGCGATGTCCGTGCGTGAGGCTGTGGCCGCTCTCGGAGATGCCGCGCAAGCGCAATGGCTCCATTGGAGAATCCTCTTTCAAGCACCGGGATCCCATATGGGTGCAGCTCCACTTCCCATCAGGCACGCTGCTTGTGGCCTGGGAATGCAGTAGAGAATGACCCAAGCCTTGGGACCCTGCACCAAAGTAGGAAACCCAGAAGAAGCTCCTAGCTCCTGGCTTCAGATCAGCTCAGCTTTGGCCATTGCAGCCACTTGGAGAGTGAAGCACTGAATGGGAGATCTTTCTGTCTCTCTGTAAATCTGACTTTCCAATTAAAAAAACATTTTTTTTTTTTTAAAAGAAGAAGGCAGGAGGATGGGGTGAGGGGTGTGTGTGTGTGTATGTGTGTGTGTAGGGGGCTGGGTTTGATTCGCTGCTCAGGGACTTCACGGACCCAGATGAGCTGGGTTACAGGCCTGGTGGGTGAGGCAGGGTGATGGAGAGAAACTGGCCACCGAGGGCCCTCCAGGCCACTGTAGCTGTTCCTGTACTGACCCCCCTTGTCCCCTGCAAACACACATTTTTGTAAGATTTGTTTTTAATTTTTACTTGACAGAGCTAAACAGAGGAGACAGATCTTCCATCCACTGGTTCACTGGGTCTCCCCTGTGAGTGTTCCAAGGCCTTGGGCAGAGAGCTGACCAGGAGGTGGGGCAGGTGGGATTTGAACCGCTGCCGGTTGGGATGCTGGCGCTGCAGATGGGCCCCAGGACAGGCCTCCAGGCACTGGTTGGGTTCTGACCTAGGAGCTTTTGGACCAGGAGTCCAGCAGGCTCTCTGTGACGAAGCGTTATCGGGGTTCCCAGACTTCCCTGTCCGTCCTGGATGTTTAACACCTGTGCTTTACACAGGGGTCCCCATGGTGTGCCCAGGCTCTGGCCAGGCCGCGGTCACAGGGGAAACACCAGGCGTTGAACAGGCACAAGCTGGCCTGTTGGAAGGCCGGGTGGGAGCTGGGCCCACGCGGGGTCGCTTTCCATCGGCTCAGCATCCCAGCCGTGGAAGAGGGTCTCACCGCGACGTCGTTCAAGTGCAACTCCCAGAGTGTTCCCGTTGCGGGACCGGTCACCCCGCCCCATGGTGGCCTCGTGCATCATCACCACCCGGCACAACACCTGGCTGCTTATCCCACAGCTTATTGTATAAACGCCTGTTTGCAGCGGCAAAGCCCCTGCTAGACAGTGGACCCCGAAAAAGGGGGTTCCCCAATTTTTCAGCCATCCTCTCCTTCCATCCGCGGGAGCCAATCCCGATGCGTTGCATCGATCCTCTCGGCTCTCTTCCAGCCAGGCTTTGTTCCTGCTTCTCGGCCATCCTCCTGCACGCCTCCGGCTCCGCCTCTCCCTCAAGCTGTTCTCCCTCACTCCTTTCAGTGCGCACGCGCAGGCTTCCTTGTTGGTCCCGCCCTCATGGAGCGACGGGCGGTATCAACCAATGGCGCCTAGAAAAAGTTGAAATGGACCGCCCCCTTCTTGGATGACCCCTCACGGCTCCCCGCCCCCTTGCTGAATATTCATAAGGAAGGCGAGTGGTCGGCACTCCGCGTCGGGGCGGGCGCCATGAAGTAGGAGTGTGGGGGAATCGCGGTTCCGTGCGAAGCTTCGGGGGTGGGCTCCGAGATGGGAGGCGGCCTGAGGCGCCGGGGCGGGAAGGCCTGCGGGTCCCCCGGGACGGGAGCCTCGGGGCTCCGGGAGAGTCCGGCGGGGAGCGGTGGCCAGGTCCCCGGAGGGAGGGAGCTGGAGCCAGCGGGTCGGGGACTGACCCTGCAGACCCCGCCGCCAGGCTCAACGTGGACGGGCTGCTGGTCTACTTCCCGTATGACTACATCTACCCGGAGCAGTTCTCGTACATGCTGGAGCTCAAGCGCACGCTGGACGCCAAGGTAGGTGGGCGGCGGGCCCTTGGTGGGGAGGGGGCGCCCTGGGTCGGAGCCCCGGAGCCACAAGCCTGGGGCAGGTCGGTTAGCCTTCTGGGTGGAAGGTTTCCACACACACACACACACACGCGGGATACTGGGTTGTCTGGGGGTCCCGCAACACAGCAGGGAGCAGACCACTTGGTGCCTTCAGGTCCCGTGGTGGGCACGGCAGTGTGCAGGGGGCAGACACCGGAGGCCGCAGTGCTGCCCAAATCCTGCAGCTCACAGGCCAACCCCACGCAACCAAACCTTTTTCTGGGTCCAGATTTCAGTTAAGAAAGAGTTGCCTGTGTGTTCCATCCTATGCTAAATGTTTAACCCATGCGTTCTCGTGGGCATCAGCAAAAGCTTCTTTTTTTGTTTTGTTTATCTGAAAGGTACGGACACAGTGCGTTTGGTTGTTAGGGCCATGGTGGAGGCCAGGAGGGGTGAGACAGTGACCAGGGGCTTGAGCCATCGTCTGCTGCCCGCAGGATGGGCCTTAGCACGAAGCCGGGTCCGAACACAGGAACGGGATTGTAGCCGGGGCACTTGGGCATGGGACATGGGTGTCCTGGATGGCATGGAACTATTGTGCCAAACTCCTGCCTTAGGGTCATTTGGGAGAGGACAGGGTTTCCAGCCACTGCCCACCCCACTCCAAGCCCGCAATAGCCAGGCTGACACGGAGAGCCGAGTCTCCCACGCGGGTGGGTGGCAGTGGTGCAATGACCTGTACCCACAAACTGCCTCGCCAGGCGGGTGAGCAGGGAGCTGGATCTGAAGTGGAGCAGCTGGGACTTGAACCTGTGCTCTGATGGGGGATGTGAGCGTTGCAAGCAGCTGCTGAGCCCACTGTGTCACAACCCTCACTCTTCCTCGAGGTTCTGAAAGTTTTGTCATTCCCCCACCAACACACAGGGTCATGGGGTCCTGGAGATGCCCTCAGGCACTGGGAAGACTGTGTCACTACTGGCCTTGATCATGGCATACCAGCGGGTAAGTGAGAGCCCCCATTGCCCACCCCACCCCACCCGCAGCCTGTGGAGGGGGTGAGGGCAGGGCCTGGCCAGGGGCTGAGGCCACTTCCGGTCGGTCGGCAGGCGTATCCGCTGGAGGTGACCAAGCTCATCTACTGCTCCCGGACGGTGCCTGAGATTGAAAAGGTGAGCTGGGCTCGTGCCAGCCCTGGGGATTCCTAATGGCAGCCCCGTGGTGGGGTAGGGCCTGGGTTTCCAGCGAGGGGGCGTCCCGCTACCCACTGCCGTCTGGAGCAGGTGATCGAGGAACTGCGCAAGCTGCTCACCTTCTACGAGAAGCAGGAGGGCGAGAAGCTGCCGTTCCTGGGCCTGGCCCTGAGCTCCCGCAAGAACCTGTGCATCCATCCCGAGGTGCGTGCGCCCCCACCCCGTGCCCCCCAAGCCACGGAGTCCCCTCCGGTCACGGGTCCTGGAGCCCCCGCCCCGACCCAGCCTTCCTGCTGAGGCGTCCAGGGGGCTGTGTCCAACTGCTCGTGTTTCAGCGAGCACACCTGGGGAGCCCACCCACTCCTGGGGAGCCCACCCACTCGGCTCCTGCCGAGATCCATGGCGCAATCCCCAGACACCTGCACAAACTGCAGCTGGGCCAGGCTGAGGCTAGGAGCCAGGAATGCTGCCAGGGTCTCCCCTGTGTGTGTGCAGGTCAGCAGGAGCAGGGCTTGGGAGCAGAGTTGACCGGGACACAGGCACCCCAGGGGACATCTGACCACCTGCCCCAGCTGTGCTTTTAAAATAGGAAGCTTTCATCTTTCTTTATTCATAGACTTTTTTTTTTTTTTTGAAAGGCAGGCTTATAGAAAGACGAAAGACAGGTCTTCCATCTACCGGTTCACGTTTCTTATGGCTGTAATGTGCATTGGTGGGCCAGATGGAAGCCAGGAGCACTGGGTGGCATGTGGTAACATGTGGGTGGCATTTGGGCCATCTGCTGCTTTCCCAGGTGCATTAGCAGGGAGCTGGATTGGAAGTGGAGTGGCCGGGGCTGGAACCAGCGCCCACATGGGATGTGGGCACTGCAGATGGTAGCTTAAATGGCTGTGCCACAGCGTCAGCCCCAGCCTTTTCTGTGCAGTGCAGGTCGGCGTAACTGCTTGATCAACAGGGGCCTTGATGACGTGGAGGGGTAACGGGGTGTGATCACCCCAGCAGTGCAGCCACCTGCCTGGACCTGTCCCACTCCCAGGCCCTGGGTGGCTGCATTGGCCCAGGGCTCTGAGGAGGGGAGAGGGAAGTGAGTCATCACTGTGGACGGACGGAGAGACCGGGGCTGGCTACCCTGGGACCTGTGCCACACCCCCTTGCCTCTTGTGGAGTCCCATTTGAGGGGGCCCCGGGAGAAAGTGAACTCAAAGATAAGTTCATGTTGTTTAAAAAAAATTGTGGAAAGTCACACTGGATTTTTGCCTCTTGCACGTGTTATAGCCAGTTTTTAAATTTTTTTAAATACCTGCCACAGCTGGGCGAGATGGAAGTCAGGGGCCAAATAATCCACATTTCTCTCTCTTTGTTTTAGAGAGTTTTTTTGTTTTTTTTTTTTTTATTAGAAAGGCAAATTTATAGAGAGGAGGAGAGATAAAAAAAAATCTTCCATCTGACCGGTTCACTCTCCAAGTGGCCACAACAGCTAAGAGCCAGGAGCCAAGGCTTTGGACGGTCCTCGACTGCTTTCCCAGGCCACAGCCGGGAGGTGGATGGGAACTGGAACTGCCGGGACACAAACCAGCACCCATATGGGGTCCCCGCACATGCAAGGCGAGGACTTGGCCACTGAGCCATCGCACCAGGCCCTCAAACCACCATTTGTGATGCCTGCATCTCGCGTTGGGGTGGGAATTGAGAGTCCTGGCTTCTCTGCTTCTGTTCCAGCTCCCTGCTAACGCACCTCTGGGCCCTGTGCCCAAGGGGGAGACCGGGTAAAGGCCCTGGCTCCCAGCCTGGTCTGGCTCTGGCCATTGCAGCCATGTGGGGAGTAAACGGCAGTCTCTCTGTTTCCACCCATATAACTGCCTTTCACATAACTAAATCAAAGATTTTTTCAGTAAATAAATGAAAATAAAAGTTGGATTGTCTGCAATTCCCAAGTTCCAACGCTTCAGCGCTGAAATGCCAAGTGCCAGCAGCGGCATGCCACCCGGGAAAGCCCCTGCTGCGGCCGCACGTGGTGTGTCCCTCCTGCACGCGGCGTGTCCCTCCCGCACGCGGCGTGTCCCTCCTGCATGCGGCGTGTCCCTCGCACACACACCAACACCTTCTCGTGGCAGCGCTTTGGCCACACATACATGCTGACCCTGAGGCATCACCCCACCCCCCACCCCATAGCTCATTACAATCTGGATTCCAGCACACTCTGGGTCGCCAGGTCGGGGCCGTCCACCTGTGACAGTCCTGCAGCTTGTGACCTCAACCAGGACCCCAGCTGTCCCACCTAGTGGTGACAGACAGGTTCGCGTTGTCCAGCCTGCTCCCTCCCACACCGCGAGGCTTGGAGGCCGGGGGTGGAGGAATGGCTGTGTCCCTTACCCACCCTGCCTCACTGCTGCCCCCCAACCCCCAGGTGACACCCCTGCGCTTCGGGAAGGACGTGGATGGGAAGTGCCACAGTCTTACGGCCTCCTACGTGCGGGCACAGTACCAGCAGGACACCAGCCTGCCCCACTGCCGCTTCTATGAGGTGCGAGAACGTGCCCGGGGCCCAGGGCTGGGCAGTGGGGAGGGGGGGTGCGTGAGCTCACACCTCCCTTACCGACCTTTCTCTCCCCACACACCCGCGCCGTCCCCCTCCTTCCCCGATACCCCATTTGCTCCCTTTATCCCACCCATAGTCAACACACCCCAATACTCATAATTCCCATGTTCCCCTCTCCCATTATTATCCCTAACAATCCCCTACTTAACACGTATATTCATCTTCTCTTCTCTTCTCTTTCCCTCTTTTCAATATAGTTTTCCATCAATTTATACAATATATCAGATTCCCCCTATCTACTTATCAAATAGTAATTAAAATACCCAACCACATATCCACTATATTCCATATAATTAATTCAACATTATATTTTTTTTTCTTTCACCTTATCCCTTACTAGCTCCCAACCCCCCCCCCCTAACCATCCTCCCCCCATCAACCCAAAACCACACCCCACAAACCACACCCTCCCCCCCCAACCTAAATAATAAAACAAGTATACTCATGCACCCCCACACCCCAATCCACATACCATACTTCAAACCTAAATACAAACTTTGCTCAACCACAATACACATCTCCTATGTCAATAATCCAAATCATGCTGACCCACTACTCCTCGACGAATATCCTCTCATTTCCCGCCCGCACATCCTAGTTTTTCAATTAAGGCTTCTGAGGTAGTAAGTAAGAGAGAGAGAGAGTGTGATAGTTGTTGTGTGTGAAGTGGCTGCGCACAGCCACTACTGGGCCTCACACCCCCGCTCGATGGCATCGTCAGCTTGCTGCGCAACAGCCACTGTTGGAGGATCGTGGCTGCGCCGGTACCCTGGACCGCTGCCAAGCCAACCTGGAGACCCTGCAGAAGACTGTGCTCAGGTGGGCATCCATGCGGCCCGCCCTTCCCCCCGGGGCCCAGCCGGCCACGCATCACCATGCCCTCTCTGCGCCCTCCCCGCAGGATCAAGCAGACGGATGAGCAGCGCCTGCGGGACGAGTACCGGCGCCTAGTGGAGGGGCTGCGGGAGGCCAGCATAGCCCGCGAGACGGACGCCCACCTGGCCAACCCCGTGTTGCCTGACGAGGTGCTACAGGGTGAGCCGCTGCGCACCCTGCCCCACTGCGCGCCCTGCCCCACTGCGCGCCCTGCCCCACTGCGCGCCCTGCCCCACTGCGCGCCCTGCTCCACTGCGCGCCCTGCCCCACTGCGCGCCCTGCTCCACTGTGCGCCCTGCTCCACTGCGCGCCCTGCCCCACTGCGCGCCCTGCCCCAACTGCGGCCGATGTGCGCCCCTCTGACCAAGCCCTGTGTCCTTGCAGAGGCGGTGCCCGGCTCCATCCGCACAGCCGAGCACTTCCTGGGCTTCCTGAGGAGGCTGCTAGAGTTCGTCAAGTGGCGCCTGCGCGTGCAGCACGTGGTGCAGGAGAGCCCGCCCGCCTTCCTGAGCAGCCTGGCACAGCGCGTGTGCATCCAGCGCAAGCCGCTCAGGTATGAGCCCTCTGGGCCCTGGCCACCATCGGGCAAGGCTGGGGCAGGGCAGAGCAGAGCACCCAGCTGGCACGGGAGGATTCTGGGGTCTCCCCAGTTTGGAGGTTTTCTCCCCTGGGCGCAGGGACAGGGACCCTGCAGGGGAACTGCTAATAGGGGGTGAAGTCAGACCCCAAAGACAAGAGGGGTGGCGCCCTCCACAAGAGGGCAAGGTGTTCCCAATGCCCACAGGCTCCCTGCACTGGCAGGGGACAGGGAGGAGGCATAGCCATGCCTCCCCAGGGTCAGCTTACGCTCTGCCTGGGGGGCTGTGGGTCTGGGTGACTGCATGGCCACGCAGGATTAGTGTGACCACCACGAGATGCTGGGTACCTGTCCCTGTTTTGTGGAGACCCACGTAGGGAGTCAGGTGAGGCTTGTGACAGGTGGGCCTGGGACGACTTGCCCCGCATGCCTTCGTGTTCAGTGGACGTGTGTGCACGCGTGCGCAGCTGCATGACGTTGGCCCACAGAGGTGGGGTGCCCTGTGCCCTGCTGAGCCCTGCTCACTGCCCTTCTGCCTCCCTCCAGGTTTTGCGCCGAGCGCCTGCGTTCCCTGCTGCATACCCTGGAGATCGCCGACCTGGCAGACTTCTCCCCCCTCACCCTCCTCGCCAACTTCGCCACCCTTGTCAGCACCTACGCCAAGGGTGAGCTCCCCCTGCCAGGCGGGCACCTGGGCTCGCTCCTGCCCAGTCTGGAGGCCACGGACATTCGGCCACTCTGGCCTCGGGGGCTGGGCTCATTTGAAAGGCACTGATGATGGTTACAGCAGGAGAGGGAGGGGCAGAGAGAGGTGGTGGTGGTTGGGTGGTGGGGGTATCTTCTGCCTGCTGCTTCACTCCCCAAGGCCTACAGCAGGTGTGCCTGGGCTAGGGTGAAACCAGATCCTGGAACCCCAGCCTGGTGCGCCCATAGTGGCACCCCCTGCTGCCTCCGGGGTACACATTAGCAGGCACCTCGATAGAACTGTGGGTGTCTGAGTCGAATCTTAAGCATCATAGAAATACCCAGCCCCACATGCAGTTCTCTAGTAGCTAAGAGGGACGGGGTGGTGGTTGGGGAGAAGGCAGTAGGCAGCAGGCTTGGGTACGAGGCTGGCCCTGGGCACTGGGAGAGCAGGGACGGAGCTTGGCCATTGCCTCTTGTCTCTCTTGGGATCCTGACAGTGTGGGGGCTGGGGAAGGGCGTGCCAGGTGTGGCCATGGGCGTGACCACCCCTGCCCGGTCACCAGGCTTCACCATCATCATCGAGCCCTTTGACGACAGGACCCCGACCATCGCCAACCCCGTCCTGCACTTCAGGTGAGCGCCAGCCTGGGTGGGGCCCCAGCTCCTCCCCAGCATGGTGCTCACCACCCTGTGCCCCTGCAGCTGCATGGACGCCTCACTGGCCATCAAGCCCGTGTTTGAGCGCTTCCAGTCGGTTATCATCACCTCTGGGGTGAGGAGCCCTTCCCAGTCCCAGCAGGGGGGTCGGGGGTGCCTGCCTGACCCTGCTGAGCCCCCGCATTCCTGGACCCACTACAGACCCTGTCCCCGTTAGACATCTACCCCAAGATCCTGGACTTCCACCCCGTCACCATGGCAACCTTCACCATGACACTGGCCCGGGTCTGCCTGTGCCCCATGGTGAGTGGGTAGGATGCGGGAGGGGCAGAGGAAGTGCAGCCCTGGGTTTTGCTGTCCCAGCTGTGAAATGGGGTGCATCCCCTGGGGCTCAGAGAGGGTCCTGAGAGAACAGTAAAGCTTGGTGGGATCCGGGATCCTCTGGTTCCAGATTCTTCAGCTGGTGCCCCAGGTGAGGCCTGTGGGTGTGGGAAGGAGGTCTGAGCTAGTGGGGTGTGGTCAGCCCCCCAGGTGGCAGCTGCAGAGTCCTTGGAAAGCTGCCTACTCTGAGGTGACCTGGGGCTGGCTCTGTTCATGGAGTCTGTGCCAGATTTGGGGCTGCCCTACAGAGGCTGTGATAGGCGATGGGCACGACCACCCCACCCTGTGCCCCGCATGCTGGGGGCAAGGGCAAAGCAGGTGCAGAGGTGCTCTGCTGTGCCCTTACAGCCTCAGGTGGTGACATGGCTGGAGCCCAGGGCACCTGTCCCATGGTACAGGTGGTGGCCTAGCAGAGGGCCTGCTGTGGCCGGAGCAGGTGGAGATCGCCTGCAGCCTGTGGCCATGCCTACCCGAACCCCCACGGCTGCTTCACCTCCCGCCTCTTGCTCGCCCCAGATCATCGGCCGTGGCAATGACCAGGTGGCTATCAGCTCCAAGTTCGAGACCCGGGAAGACATCGGTAGGCTACCCACCCCCACAGTGGCTGCTGGGGGATCTCGGGGCAGGTGCACTGGTCGGGTCGGGTGGGTCAGGTCAAGCATCCCCAGCCTGAGGTGAAGTGACACTGAGGGATCACTTCCTGCCCCCCTGCGAGTCTGCTGGGCTTGACGGATGCCACCTCGCCACACTGCAGGAGGAGGGGGGAGGGGCGGGCTCCCCGGGACAGGAAGGAAGAGGAAGAGGAGGTAACAGCCCGGAGCCACATGGCCCTGGTGGGATTTCTGGGCGTCCAAGTTCAAGGGGTAGGCCGGAGGAGCTGACCGGCCTGTGCACACGCAGCCGTGATCCGGAACTACGGGAACCTGCTGCTGGAGATGTCGGCCGTGGTGCCCGACGGCATCGTGGCCTTCTTCACCAGCTACCAGTACATGGAGAGCACCGTGGCCTCCTGGTACGAGCAGGTATGCCTGGCCCCTGCGCCACACCCCTGTTGCTCGCCAGGGTTCCCCTCCTGACCCACCTCCAACCCACATGGCCTCGGGTCAAGGGAGGAGGGAGACGGCGGCAGCCATGGCCCCAGCTGGGCGCCGTGCGCATGGAGGCACGCCTTAGCCAAAGCCCACAGGAGCCATCCTGGGCAGTGTGGGCGAGGCTATGGGATGTCATGGTTAGTGGGCTGTGGACAGCGAGGCCTAGGACTCAGGGCAGGGATGGCCCAGAAGGTTCTGGGGTCATGACTGGCTGGTGGAAGGGTAGACTCTTCACCCTCCAGAGCCTGGCCATGGTCCTGTGGAAGCCAGTAGGACCTGAGGATGTGCTGAGCTGTCCCTGCTACCCTGTGGGGAAGGGGTTTGCAGACCCTCCCAGCAGTCCCCACTGCTTCCCAAGGCTCCAGTTGGAGCTGGGGGCGGGCAGAGTCAGGGGCGCCGTGTGCACTGCTGCCTAAGCCCCAGCAGGGCTGGGTGACCCCGGCACTGACACTGTGGACCCCCACCCCAGGGAATCCTGGAAAACATTCAGCGGAACAAGCTGCTCTTCATCGAGACGCAGGACAGCGCCGAGACCAGCGTGGCCCTGGAAAAGTACCAGGAGGTGAGCGGCAGCCGAGCGGGCTGGGCAGTGACGGTGTGGAGGGCTGTGTGGTCACACCTGGGCCTTCCCTGCCCCAGGCCTGTGAGAACGGCCGTGGTGCCATCCTGCTGTCCGTGGCCCGGGGCAAGGTGTCTGAGGGAATCGACTTCGGTGAGTGTGCCAGCCCGCGCCCCCACCCTGCCCGCCTTGCCACCGCTGCCCGCTAACCGCCCTGCCCTGCCCCCAGTGCACCACTTCGGCCGGGCCGTCATCATGTTCGGCGTCCCCTACGTCTACACGCAGAGCCGCATACTTAAGGTGAGCCTAAGGGGCTGGCCAGGTCCAAGGAGGGGCAGGGCCAGGCGGCTAGGCCCACCGCCGGCCCCTTCATCCCCAGGCGCGGCTCGAGTACCTGCGGGACCAGTTCCAGATCCGGGAGAATGACTTCCTCACCTTTGACGCCATGCGCCACGCCGCCCAGTGCGTGGGTCGCGCCATCAGGGGCAAGACCGACTACGGCCTCATGGTCTTTGCCGACAAGGTGCGAGCCCTCCCTGACCCTCCCCACCTCCTGATTCCCCATGCGGGGGTCGTGGGGTCCCAGTCCCCCTGTGCTGATGCCCTGCCGGTCCTCCTTCAGCGGTTTGCACGTGCCGACAAACGGGGAAAGCTGCCCCGCTGGATCCAGGAGCACCTGACGGACGCCAACCTCAACCTGACGGTGGACGAGGGCGTCCAGGTGGCCAAGTACTTCCTGCGGCAGATGGCGCAGCCCTTCCACCGGGTAGGCCCTGGGGTTCCTCCTTGGTGCCCCGCTGCCCGGGTGTGTCCCTGTGGCAGCTCTAGGTACCTGGGGGGTACCTACCCTCCCTCGGCCTCATGTCCTGTCCCTGCCTTCACTCCTGCAGGAGGATCAGCTGGGACTGTCCCTGCTCAGCCTGGAGCAGCTGCAGTCGGAGGAGACGCTGCGGCGGATTGAGCAGATTGCCCAGCAGCTGTGAGCCCGGGCCAGCCAGCACCCAGCAGGTAACGCCAAGCTGCCGGCCCTGGGGAGGGAGCCTCCACCCTCAAGGAAGGCCAGGGAGGCGGCCTCAGGCCAAATCCAGAACCTTTAATCGTTAAGGGTAACTAGGGTAGGGAAGGGGGTCCCTCTGCTACTGTCCCCCTCCCCCAGCCAGTGTTCTTCAGTAGCTGGGGCCCACGAGGCCCGGCAGTCTCAGCGGGGGCTCAGCTCCTGAGTGCTGGTACTGAGGGTTCGCAGGGCCTCACTCAGGCGCCGGCCTGGGAGCTGGGGACAGGATGGGCCGGTTGGAGGGGGACCAGAGGCAGGCACCCTCCACCCCACCCTGTCTGGGCCCCTCACCTCCTGCTGGGCGGCGGCACCCCGGGCCCGGTCTGCGTTCAGCGTGCTGAGCGACACTGCCCTCTTCATCCTGCAGGGGGAGCCAGAGGACGCAGTGACGAGCAGGGAAGGATTTGTGGGGTGCAGGGGTGCGGGGTCTGCCGGAGCCCCCACTCACCCGGCCATCCCAGCGGCAGGGCCCTCACCGCGGAGCCGGGACACCAGCTTCTCACTGCCCCGCCGGATGGACTCCCGGAGCTTGGAGAAGGAGCTGCTGCGGCGCAGGGCCTACGGGGGAGGCCGGGGCCGTGGGTCAGCCCCTTGGACGGCCGCCCCCGCTCCCCCCGGCCCGGGATCCAGACCGAGCTTCCCCCTTACCTGCTGCTCTGCATCACCAGTCGTGCCTGTGTTGGGGACTCCTGAGGGATAAATGGGGACAGTGAGCGGGGAGGGACAGGGGGCCGGGGCTGACAGGGTGGGGTGCACCCGGCGGGCGGGGCTCACCGAGCGGGGCGGGCAGCTGCTCGCGGTTCAGGATTTCCTTGTAGAGCTCCTCCGCTTGCTCGTACTTGTTCTGCTTCAGGTAGGCCGAGGCCTGCGCGGGGACAGCTGCTCAGGACCCCGTCCCCTCAGCCCCCCTTGCTGCCAGGGGGCCCAGCGCGGGTGACTGTGGGGAGACCCTCCCGTGGCCCCGCCTCCTGGCTCCCCTTCCCCAGCACAATAAACCTCAAGACCGTGCTCTCGTGGTCGGCACTGCTTCCTCTTCCCTCGCCCCTGGGGCGCCCCCTCACCAGGTTGCTCTTGGTCTTGGCCACATTGGGGTCCTGGGGGCCGCCCAGGGCCTCATAGATGCTGAGGGCACGGGTGTAGTGGCGCTCCACGTCCTCGAACTTGCCCTGGTTCTGGCAGAGCAAGGCCAGGTTGTTGAGCTGCTTGGCCACATCCGGGTGGTCGGCGCCCAGCACCTGTGGGGTCAGGGGTCACAAATCATCAGGGATGTATGCAATTGGGTTGCAGTCAGGGTTACAGGGTCAAGGGGGACTCATGGGGTCAGAGGTCACAGTGGTACAGGGTTGCCTCGGGGAGATGGGGGGATGGCATTGAACTGGGGGCCACACAGGGTTGGACCAGGCTGGGCAAACGTGTAGAGAAGTCAGGTCATGGGATGGGGTGTTCTCAAGGGGACTGAAGGCCAGAGGCCCCAGCAGCAAAGGACACCACAGTGAGGGACCGAGAGGACCCCAGGAGAGGTGGGACCTGGGCGCTGGAGGACATGAGCCACTGACCTTCTCGCGGATCTCCAGGGCGCGCTGGCACAGTGGTTCCGCCTCCCGGTAGCGTCCCCGCTTCCCATATAGGACAGCCAAGTTGTTGAGAGTGGCAGCCACCTGTGGTAGGGGCATAGCTCAGGGGTAGGTGGGCATCGGGCTAGGGTGGAGACACAGTGGGTGCAGTGCAAGCACATCCCATGGGCACATTCCACACACTGCTCTCCCGGCTGCACATGTGGGTTGTGTCCATTTGGGAAGGAAACCGCTGGAAGGAAGAGTTTTCTCTTTCCATCATCACTTTCCCAATTTTATTCTTTTTTAAAGGTTGAGAAAGATCTTTCATCTGCTTGTTTATTCCCCAAATAGCAATGATGGTCATAGCCAGGCCAGTGCAAAGCCAGGGGCTTCTGGGTCTCCCTACGTGGGTGCAGGGGCCCAAGGACTTGAGCCATCTACTTTGCTGCTTTTCTAGGCCCTTAGGAAGAAGTTGGAAGGCAGGTGGAGCCAGGACTCAAACTGGTGCCCATATGCGATACTGGTACTGCAGAGGCTTAACTGGCTATACCACACTGCCAGCCCATTAACCCTATTAACCCTGAAGTAAATCAGATGGGCAGGCACGCTCCCTTTCCCCAGAGGCCACTCACTGCGGGGTGCTCAGGGCCCAGCGTCTGCTCCCGGATCTGCAGGGCATCATGGAGGAGGTCCGTGGCCTCCTTGTACTTGTTCTGGTCCCTAAAGGGCAGTTTGTAGGGGGTTGGCCAAGGTGCAGCAGCTGGCACTGGGCTGGCCCTGCCAGGCCCAGAGAGCAAGCTAAGTATGCATAGGTGGGTCTCCTCACATCTCCCATCTCGGGCACCCCTAGTATGGTCACCGCCCCACTTGTCCTCCACCATCCTGTCCCTGCCCTCACCGGTATACCAGTGCCAGGATGTTGAGCATGGTGGCCACGTCAGGGTGGCAGTGGCCTGAACTGCGCTCCAGGTCCTCGAGTGCCTGGCGGCACAGGGGCACAGCCACCTCATACCGGCCCTGCCCCGCGTACTGGATCACAAGGTTGTGCAGCGTCCGCAGCCGGGCAGGGATCTCATAGCCGCCCTGCTGGGCCGCTGCCGCACCAGCTGTCTCAGAGCCTGGAGGAGGCAGGCACCCAGTCACTGCACGCCTCCCGCCAGGGGACCCCCATGCCCTGCCAGTGCCGACTCTAACTGGTCCAGGGAGGCTGAGGGTGCAGAGCCGGCTTGGCTCACAGGTGGCAGTTCTGGGTTCACAGCAAGCAGCGTCACCTGCGGCTCCTCACCCCGCTAACACCTGTCGCGTCCTGCCCACCTCAGATCCCGGCTGCCCGTGTCCAGGGCCCCACACCCACCTCTCCTCTCTTCCTCCTCACTGGGGATCAGGGCGGTCAGGCTGTCTCGGCGAGGGGGGGACTCGGGCCGCTGTGCGCAGGACAGGAAAGTGGAGTGTCAGGAGGCTTGGGGCTTGAATCCCGGGACTTGGGGGGCTCCTGGAGATGGGGGAGGTGAGGAGTGGCTGGAGGGGGAGACTCTGGGGCCCCAGGCAGCGCACCGGGCTGGTGGTGGGCTCGTCGTACTGCCGTAGTTGCCCCAAGAACTCGAGGTGGCTCTTCTCTTCTTCCAACTGGGCCACGGCCTCCTCGCTGGCCCGCAGCCGCCGCTGCGTCTCCTCCAGCTCCTCCCGCAGCCACACATTCTCCTGGGCCAGGCGCCGGGCCTGTGCCCGTAACCGTTGCTTCTCGGCCTCGAGTGCGCCCACGTGCGCCGACAGAGCCAGCAGCACCTGCGAGGGGTGGGAGGCCTGGGCGCGGCGGCTGGGACTGGGTTCCAGGGCCCAACCTATGGCTCAGCCTCCTGCCCAGCCCTGGTGGCCAGTGGGCCGGACACCCTCATTCTATCCAGGGCCCCCCATACGCTGCAGAGGCATGCCAGTCAGGGGTGCTGAGGTTCCTGGGGTCACCCCGTGTCCCCCCACACAAAGGCTCCCAGGGGTCTTGCTGCTCTGGGGGGTCTGGTAGGGGAGGGGTCCAGCTCCTCCTGCCCCCTCATACCTGGGCCTCTCCCAGCCCCAGCTCCAGGGCTTCCAGCGAGTGTCTCACCACCTGCTGTTTCTCTTCCAGCAGCTCCGCACCAGCCACGGGGCCCGGGCCTGCCAGGGCCTCGGCCAGGTGCCCGGCCAGGCCACAGTGCTCGGCCCGCAGGGCCTCCAGCCCCTGCACCACCTGCCGCGTCTGCCTGATGAGCTCTTCTGGGCTCAACCCCGCGCTTCCGGGGGCTGCCACCTGCACCGACATGCCGCTCCTGCTGGGGTGGGTGCAAGCAGTCACCATGCAGGCCCTTATTCTGGTCGCCCCCCTCCCCGCACAGCAGGAGCCCCACCATCAAGCCCTGCCCCAGCTGGCACCCAGCGTGCCCCGCCTACCACGCTCCCGCAGATCTATGAGGTAGCCCAGTCAGGTAGGCTCCAGGGCCAGCTCTGACATCCCAGGACTGGCGACTGATTGACCAAGGCAGGGCAACAGCTGGAGTCTCTCCCCCAATCCTGCTGCCCTTTGCCTGCCTGGTAGCGCCACCCGCACCCCCAGCTGCCCTGGCACCGGAAGCCCTTGTCTCCCCACCAGTTGCAGGGTGAGGGGGGCAGGGTGTGTGGAGGCGGCGGCCGGACCGTGAGCTCATTCTGAAGGTGTTTTTGTTGGGAACCAGTCGGACCGCTGGGGCTGGGCGGGGCTGGGCGGCAGCAGAGGGCCCGGGGCTGGGCGCCGGAAGCAGAGGCGGCCTCCTGGGTGGAAGGGACCGGCCTCTACAGACCCTGCGGGCCCAGGGTGGAGGGGGCTCTGGCCTCCGCCCTCCGCCCCAGACAGGCCCAGCCAGGGCCTGTTGGGACACACGTGTGGCAGGCGTGGCCACGGGAGTTGCTGGGCATTGGCAGCTGTGGGTAAGGAGTTGGGGGGGAGTTCCATGTGACAAGGCCACTGGATGAGGCTGGGGTCATCCTAACTTTATGCACACCTGCTTCTTAAAGACACAGGCACCGAGTTCACTTGGCGCTCTCAACAGAGCTCAGCCCCCATCTCCCACAAAAGGTGACCCCAACCCCACCCTGCCCCACTGACAGAAATAGCAAGATGTGACCTGCCCTCAGGAAACCGAGACAGGGCTGGTCCCCGCCACTACCTATCACACTGCCATCCCACGTGGGCGCCAGTTCGAATCCCTGAAGACCCCAGCGGAAATGCCGGCAATGTCTGTGTGGCTCTGTCATCCACATCACAGCCCCATGGGGCTCCAGGACCCTCTGCCCCTACCCAGAGCAGGCCACTCCCAGAGGCACCCATGGGCCACACCTGCCACACGTGTGTCCCAACAGGCTTAGTCAGCTCCTTGCTGACGCACCCGGGAAGGCATGGGAAAACTGTGTGTGTGTGTGCGCGCACACACACACACACACACACACACACACACAGGATGGGGGGGGCGGTTCCTGGCTATTGGCTTATGGCTGGCTGCTGTGGCCATCAGGGACATGGGCCACAGGATGGGAGAACTCCCCATAAAAATTAAAAACACAGGGCCAAATGCTGTAGCCTAGTGGCTGAAGTCCTCGCCTTTCACACACTGGGATCCCAAATGGGTGCCGGTTCGTGTCTCAGCTACTCCACTTCCCATCTAGCTCCCTGCCTGTGGCCTGGGAGAGCAGTGGAAGACGGCCCAAAGCCTTGGGATCCTACCCTCATGTGGGAGACCTAGAGGAGGCTCCTGGCTCCTGGCTTCGGATGGGCTCAACACTGACTGTTGTGGCCACTTGGGGAAAAACATAAGATATTTCTCTCTGTCTCTGTAAATCTGACTTTCCAATAAAAAAATAAATAAATCTTTAAAAAGAAGTGCACTGCCCACCCCACTCCCAGGTGTGTCCACTCGGAAACAAGCCACGACAGAGCACCACGCCGCCTCCTCCCCCCTCATCAGCAGCATCTCTGCCAGCTGCTCTCTCTCCTCTGCGGCCTCTCAGGCCTGCCCTGCCAAGGCGCTCACACCAGCCATGGGCTCTCCCAGCCCCTCCTCTACCTCCTGGCCTGGCCTTGGGGGGACGGACACCCCCCCCAACAGTGTCTGAACTGAGACTGCCAGTTGTGGGTGCCCATGGCGTGGACGCCGGCATCCCTGCACACAGCAGCCGGGTGCCCTGCCTAAGGCCCCACGGTCAGAACCACAACCACAGCTCACTCAGGTCCTGTCTCTGCACACTGCCCCGTGGCTCCAGGACGTCCCCACAACCCAGGAACCAACTACCAGTTGGTGGCAGCCGAGCCATCACGCATCGCCAGGTTCTCACCCGCTGTCCTGCGCGCGCGCACACACACACACACACGCCCGACACACCAGGTCACACCCAAGCTGAGGACCAAAATCTTCCCTATGCAAGCAAGGAAAGTTCGAGAAGGTCGGTGGAGAAAACAGGCTGCCAGAACTTTCTGGAGACCTCCACGCGCGCGCACACGCACACACACACGCTCCGCACTGCCGCCACTCGAGGGGAGCAGGCCGGGGTCGCCTGCGTACCCACGCGCGGCCTCCAAGCGCCCCGAGGCCTCCCGCTCCTGTTTACCTGCGCACCGGGGGCCGAGGCGCGCTCCCAGCCGGGCCTGCACACCCCCGGGGAGCCCCCAAGTTGCCAGGCGCGCGGGCCCAGGGGTGCGCCCAGCCCAGCCCCTCCTCCGTGCGCCCCATCAGCGCGGCTCCCCGGGACCCCCGCGGCCCGCTCCCGCGCCCACCTGGCTGCGCACGGCTCCGGGCCCCGGCGCGGCGGAGATGCGTTTCTCGGCGTCCCCGCACACCCGGCACGCCCCGCGCTCCCGGCGGCGACCCGCGGCTCCTGGGGGCCGGGCCGGCCGGGAACCCCGCCCTCGCCCCGCAGGTGCGGCGGCCACGCCCACGTCCGGGCCCCGCGGGACGCGCCGAGCCGGAGGTGGACCCGCCGCTGCTCCAGCTGGGAGCCTTCAACTCTCTATTTATTTATTTATTTTTACAAACTTTGGGTCCCACAAGGCGGGCTTCAATTGCTTCTCAGCCTTTTGGCGTGGAGCTTGTCCTTCGTCCAGTTGTTTCGCCAAGGTCACCTCCTCCAAGGAACCTTCCTGCCATGCCCTACTCTGTGGCACTGAACACCCTCACTCCTGAGTTGTGCCCAAATTTTCAGAGCCGTGGGTCCGGCGTGGTAGCCTAGTGGCTAAAATCCTCTACTGGTATGCGCCAGGATCCCATACGGTGGACGGTTCCTGTCCTGGCTGCTCCACTTCCCATCCAGCTCCCTGCTTGTGGTCTGGAAAAGCGGTCGAACATGGCCCAAAGCCTCAGGACCCTGCACCCGTGAGTGAGAGAGGCTGGAGGAAGCTCCTGGCTCCTGGCTTCTGATCAGCTCAGCTCTGGCTGTTGCGGCCACTTGCGGAGTGAAGCAGCGATGGAATATCTTTCTCTGTCTCTCCTTCTCTCTGAAAACCTGACTTTCTAATAAAAAAAAAATACCTCTTAAAAAAAAATTTCCAGAGCCAAAAATTACTGTATGTAGGCCTATCGTTTTATTTTGTTGTGTGTCAGTAGCACAGGTCGCCCAGTCCTGGCTGTCGCAGCCATACGGGGAGGGAACCAGTGCGGTGGAAGATCTCTCTCTTCCTTGTTAAAGCGCTAGCTTCTTGTACAGCTTTCACAAACTGCTGGCTGCCTAGGGCAGGGGGCTGTGTCGCTGGCAGCACCAAGCCAGTGCCCGATGCAAACCAGGCACTCTGTCGTGGGTGACAATGTCAGGTCGGAGAGGGCAAGGGCGGCTAGGGACTCCACATGGGTGGTCTACTCCCTGCAGGTCTGGGGGTGCTGCACCCCACAATGTCTGCAACGGGGGGGGGCACTGAGGCCCCACCCCACCCTGACCCCCTCCTCTGAGCCCCACTGTAGGGGCCTCCTCCTTCAGGAAGCCGTCTCTGACTGCTCCCCCAGACACGCAGCGTCTTGGCTTCCTAACATCCCAGCTCTGGGTGGTTACTGCACAGTCGGTGGACACAAAGCTGGACAGGCAGGAGGCCAACCTGAGAGATCGGGCCTTGGGGGAATCACAAATGAGAAAACCGAGGCTGCAAGCCCTCCCACTCCGCCCCCAGCACTTCTGCCGTTTCTAGGCACAGAATTGGGGAGGGGGACAGGGCAGCAGCTGAGTCCCTCCCTCCTACCTCTGGCCTGCCTTGATTAGTCCCTCCCTCAGTGGGCAGTGCAGGTGCCAGCCCCAGGCTGTGGGACCCTCCAATCTGAACCTGGAGTTCTTGGGGGCCTTAGGGCGGCTCTAGGAGAAAACTCCGACACCCCCAAAATGACTGAGGACCAACCAACAGAGGGCAACATCCCTTGGGGACGGGAGGGGAGTGGTGGGCAAATGTGAGGTCAAATCTAGAACTTGGCACTTCCTGTCCACCGTGCACCGCCCTGAGCCTCTTCCCTTATCTGCAAGACATGCAGCCCCAGGATTAATGGAGATAAGGCAGAGAAAGCGTTCACCGGGCTGGCCCTGGGCCAAGGTCTTCTGCACAGCGCTGGCCAGACTCGGGCGCTGGAGTCAAGACGGATCCAGCACAAGGCTTGGGCGGGAGTACTCCAAGGAGGGGTGCAGGTGTCCCCATGACTAGGCGAAGTGCCCCCTGTCAGCCACAATTTTATCTACTTATTTGAAAAGTATTGCTAGAGAGGGTGCTTCAGCCTGCTGCTGCTTCACCCTCTGGGTGGCTGCAGCAGCCAGAGCTGAGCCAGCCTGAAAGCTAGGAGCCAGAAGCCTCTTCCGGGTCATCCTATTGGTGTGCAGACCCAAATGTTTTCTGCTGCTTTCTCAGGCCACAAGCAGAGGGCTGCATCAAAAGTGCAGCAGCCGGGATGGGAACCAGTGCCTGTACACGCTGCAGGCACCACGGATGGCGACTTAACGCAGCACAATACATCATGCTGCTTCTTCTTGGACAGCAAGAGCTGCTACTGCTGACACTGCCATCCACGTGAATCCTGCTCGTGTCCTGGCGGCTCCGCTTCCCACCCGGCTCCCTGCTTGTGGCCTGGGAAAGCAGTGGAAGACGGACCACCCTGCACCTGCGTGGGAGACCCAGATGGAGTCCCAGGCTCCTGGTTTCAGCCAGGCCCAGCCAGGCCCCTGGCAGTTGTAGTCATTTGGGGAATTGAAGAAGCAGCACAGGGGAAAACTCTGTAACCCGGGCTTCTGAATTAAACCTATTGCATTCTCGGGCAGTGTGCTTCCAGCCTCCTGTAGGGCACGAGCAGATCCGGCCCAGTAGTTAACTGGGTCAACCACTAGGAGCCGCAGCCCCTCCCCAGCCATGGACCCCCATATGCCTACCTGTCAAACAACGCCCCCCACCCCTCAGGGAGAACTTGCCCCCATGTGAGTTCTGGGACGGAGCCGTGTAACCACGCCCCTTTCAAGCCACTGAAAGCCCACGTGGAGGAGGGACCCATCTCTCACTGTCTTCTGTGGACCCAGAGGAATTTAGGGGTGTCTGTCTCCCCTAGAATAAGGCCCAAGGGTGTCTGTGAAGCCACTTCTCCGTTTACCCAGCCTGTGCTTAAAATGTTTTTTTAAGTAAAAGACACGCGTCTCAAAGAAAATATTGGCCCAACCTGGCTCATAAGCCTTCTTTTAAGATTTAATTTTACTTTTATTAGAAATGCAGAGTTACAAAGAGAAGGAGAGAAAGAGAGAGAGGAGAGGAGGGGTCTATCTTCCATTCGCTGGTTCTCTCCTCAAATAGTTACAATGAACACAGCTGGGCCAGCGCAAAGCCAGGAGCCAGGAGCCTCGTCTGGGTCTCCCACGCAGGTGCAGAATCCCAAGGCTTTGGGCCGTCCTCGACTGCTTTCCCAGGCCACAAGCAGGGAGTTGGATGGGAAGTGGAGCAGCCGGAACATGAACTGGAGCCCATACAGAATCCTGGTGCCACAGCTGGAAGCTCAGCCTACCGCCTCCCAGCGCAAGTCCCTGGCCTGCTCTTTATTCCCATCTGCAGTTTCTCGGGGTTGTCAGGTCCCCCACACCAGAGATGGTGTCCTCTGCTGCTGAAGATGGCTCAGAATCCCTGTATGCTGCTGGAGAACACAGGAAGACGAGGGCCACCTGGCCACCTGCAAGCACTGGATGTGGCAGGAGCTCTTGTGCGCTTCTAGGGACAGGGTCAAGTTCTGGCGGCTGTCTCGGGTTCCAGGTGCAGCCCTGGGTGGGAGACTGGGCACAGGCCGCTGCCAGCCAGAGGAAGCTGGGGGTGGCGGTTGGCAGGCAGGCAAGGAGCCGAGCCCTGGGCACAGAGCCTCCTTTTGCTCCTGGCGAATCCAGCCCCGCTGTGTCTGAACGCCGCCTGATGCCTGCCATCCGCTCTGAAGTCTGTTGGTGCTTTTGATTTTGTGATGGTCCCTGCCCCGTGCAGGTCAAGGCCTTGTGCACGCATACGTGGTGGACCTGTGTTTCCTGCCCAGAGCCTCAGGGTGGTTATTCGATGTTGAGCCCTGGCTGCCTGTGCCGGGACAACCTCTCCAAGGTGCTTAAGCCCCGCCCCCGCAAGCCCGCTCGGCACATTCGGCTCCTCTTCCTCTTCTGTTATATAAAAACCCAACAGAGCCAAACAAAATTAAACCAGTGTCTCTCAGCATTTCCCAAGGTACTCCAGAGAGAATAGATTTATTCTTTAAGATTTATTCATTTGGACACACTGCGGTAGCCTAGTAGCTAGGTTCCTCGCCTTGCAGGCATTGGGATTCCATATGGGCACAGATTCGTGTTCCAGCTGCTCCACTTCCCATCCAGCTCCCTGCCTGTGGCCTGGGAAAGCAGCAGAGGACGGCCCAAAGCCTTGGGACCCTGCACCCACGTGGGAGACGCGGAAGTTCCTGGTTCCTACCTTCAAATTGGCTCAGCTCCAGCCATTGCAGCTGTGTGGGGAGTGAATCATCGGACAGAAGATCTTCCTCTATGTCTTTCCTCCTCTCTGTATATGACTTTGCAATAAAAATAAATACATCTTTAAAAAAACACTTTTAAAAAAGAAAAGTTTATTTTAAAAATCTTTTTGCCTGTCCTTCCCTCTCTAATTCTACCTCTCAGATAAAAATAAATAAGTCTGATTTTTTATTGAGAAACATTGAGCCAGAACTTCCTATCTCCCTGTAGGTGCAGGAACCAACACCTGGGCCATCCTTCCCTGCTTTACAGAGCATTACAGGGAAGGAACTGGATGGGAAGTCGAGTAGCCGGGCCTTGAACCAGCACCCACATGGGTGCCAGCGCCACAGGTAAAGGATTAGCCTGCTACACAAGACCCATATTAGTTTTACTTATTTATTAAATATTTATTTGTTTTTATTACAAAATCACATATACAGAGAGGAGGAGAGACAGAGAGGAAGATCTTCTATCCGATGATTCACTCCCCAAGTGAGTGCAACGGCCAGTGCTGCGCCGATCCGAAGCCAGGAGCCAGGAACTTTCTCCAGGTCTCCCACCCGGCTGCAGGGTCCCAAGGCTTTGGGCCGTCCTTGACTGCTTTCCCAGGCCACAAGCAGGGAGCTGGATGGGAAGCGGAGCTGCTGGGATGAGAACTGGCGCCAATATGGGATCCTGGCACATTGAGGCAAGGACTTTAGCCGCTAGGCCACGCTGCCTGGCTCATTAGTTTCCTTTTAATAGTTGCAGATGACCTTAGCTCATCTTGTATTCAATAATAAAACAATATTTGAGAAACGACCTTAATGACATAGAAATCCTAACAGTAGTCGGAAAATACTTGCAAGTGACCGGTAATCAGACTGCTACAGAGTGAGAGGGGCGAGGGCCAGCCAGGCGTTGTCCCCATGACACACACAGTGACCGCTGATGCAAGGGACCCTGGGAATCCTCGACTCTGGCTCCAGGGCGCGGCAATCCCGGACCTGGGATGTGCTTCTGCCACCTTGTGGCTGAAAAGTGCTAAGAGCCCGCCAGGGTACATCAGGGGCCCAAGGGCTTGGCTGCCCTGCCCACCCTGGGGACGTGGCTGGAGCCCCCAGCGGCTAGCAGGGGCCTTGCTGCTGGCTCCCACTGTACCCCTGATCTCCGCCTTGCCTCCCCTCCTCCCGCAGGCTCCCCCACCCCGGTGACTCCTACCCTTCCCCTAGGTCTCCCTTGGATGTCCCCCACCTGCTCGCCTGTGCTATGACTGTTTCCAGAATGCTCCAGGCTCCAGTTGGCAGGGAGGGGTGGGGGACGGCATGGTACCCCTCCTCAGGAGTCAGAGCCGATTGGGACCTTGTCCCAGCTTTACCCTTAGTTGACCGCAGAAAAACGGGGAGACCTGGGAGGCGGAGAACCCCGGAGAAGGGACACACTCCTAGATGTGGGACTGTGGACACAGAGAGCGTTACCCCACAATCCTGGGAGTTCCCTGAAGGAGACGCTCTACCCAGCCTGCAATCCTGGTGTCCACTAAGAGGAGGAGGCGGTTTCCCCACACCATCTTCCCTTCCCCTACTAGCGTTCAGGCCTGGTGGCATCCAGGGGCCACTGCAGTGTACACATGCCATATAGTTCAGATCTGGCACCCCCCTGCTCTGGGCCATGGACACTGCCCAGCCCCCTTCCCCTCTCCGCGGGGTAGGGTGGGGGTGAGTGGGTGTGCCACCTGCAGCTTGCCAGTGCCCTTGTAAGGAGGCAAGGCCCCAGGGATACCCGAGCCGTGCAGCTATAATTAGCCTGGACACGTGGCGAGCCCCCCCCAACACCTGCCTGGCACCCCCCTATTTGCAGCCTAAGGGCTTGGCCCTTGCAGTCGCAGGAACAGGATTGCTGTGTGCCCTAAAAATAACTCCCTTCCCAGATGGGCCCTCCCAGCTGCACCCTGAGAATGGGAGGGGGAAGGCGACCACCACCCCAGCCCCAGCCCCAGCCCGAGCTCTGACTTCCCACTGCTAGGCAACCCAGCAGAAGGGTGGGCACGCTCCCTGCTCTGGGGTGACTCCAGCTTTGGCCTGGGTCCATGTGTGGTCATAGCTGGGTGCTGCAGGAGGGTCCCACATCCTTGGCTTCCTCCTTGCCTAAATGTTGTGTGTCCCAAGCACTGGCACCCATCAAAGGGTGGGGACCCAGCAGGTGCTGTTCACTGTGGGGAGGGTGGGGTTTGCTGTAAGCAGCACGCTCAGGGGCCGGGGGCGGGGGAGAGGCACTTGGTGTAGGGACATCCCCAGCCGCTGTCCCGTGCTCCTGGTGGGGGGCCAGCTGTTCCTGCCAGCTCCACTCAGCAAATCAGTCCTGGGGTGGGGGTAGTGGGGTGGGTAGGAGGGCCGGGCCCAGCCCCTGGGGCACCCATACAAGGCCATGGGGTTGGGTGCATGGCATGCCTGGGTCCTGACAGGCACCATGCCCAGACGGCGAGGTGAGAGGCTGGGCTGGCCTCCAGGACCCCTCCCTGGGCCAGCCCCTCGCAGCCAATGACACGGCCCAGGGCCCCCTACATAAAGTTGGGGCAGTGAGCCCTTCCTTCGTCCCAGTGTCGCTTCCAGGACACCAGTAGCCCCTCAGTGCAGCGTGGCCAGGTACTACCCGGGGTGGGAGTCCAGAGTTCACGGGTGCGGGCTAAGGGGGTGCCATGGGAGCCAGAGGAAGGGGCCTCGGGAGCTGCTGGCTGGCTGGGGACCTCTCCCTGCCACGGGAGCCTGCCTGACTTCCTGTGGGACCCATGACTTCTGGGGAGCCAGCGAGTGACCCAGAGGTGCAGGGGATTACTGCTGGCTACCAGCGGTGCAGGAGCTGTGTGTGTGGGTTTGTCGTGGAGATGGTGCCATAGGCCCTGCAGGCGGCAGTGCCAGGGTCAGCTACAGCAGGTGGCCCGGGTGCTTCCTGTGGGTTCCTCTGTGTCCCTGTGACCTTGCACCCAATCTCCTGCATGTGTGTTCCTGCTCTGTGGGTGTCCCTGAACTCTCGGGTGCTGCTGAGTTCATGGTCAGGTGCGGGCATGGCTCTCCGGTGAGGGGTTGGCTCTCAGGGCTGTGTTCTGGGCTGGTCGGGGCCTTGGTGACTCCTGGGGCCTTGGAAGGGCTGTCCTTGAGCCCCAGGTCGTCTGTGTGTCCTCCCAGTCCCCTGGGGAGACCCACCTGTCCCCGGGGCCTGCTGACTTGGCGCAAGCTGAGCCCAGGAGTGGGGGGCGGGGCAGCAGCTGGGGTTGAGGGGCAGTCAGCCAGGTTCTAAAAATAAGCACCCTGGCCTGGCGCCCTCCAAGGGCTCTGCTGGTCCCCATGCCTCCTCGCCTAAGCTCACTGCTGTTCCAATCTCATCTTTACCTCCCTGGGTCATGCCTGCTGTAGCCACCAGGATTGCAAGCCCCAGGAGAGTGGGGAGGGCTGTACAGGGAGGCCTGGGGTCACCCAGCTGGCAAACACAGCGGACAGCACCCCAGCACTCCCACTGGGGATGCTGGAAAGAATGTTCCTGTAAAGCCAGCTTCATTCCAAGCCACCACTACAGCTGGAGGCGTGCTGAGGGCCTCACCAACTTGTCCACACCCGCTACCAAAGGCCATGGCTGAGAGAGGCCCCAGGCTGCCCTGAGCCTGCACTTGTTCCAGGCCTGGAGTGTTTTCAGCCTCAGAGGGAATGGGGGTGCGGGTGGGTGGGGTCCCTGCTCCCATTCTCCAGCTGGGGACAACCAAGCTGGGCTCCCCAGGGTGGGGCTCACCTCCCTCCCTGGCTCCAAGCCCTGCAGCCCACAGCCTCGCCGGGTGCTGCTTCCTCAGACTCAGAACTCAGCTCCTGCCACCTGCCCCACAGAGCCCCCACCCCAAGCCACCACCATGCCGTTCGGCAACACCCACAACAAGTTCAAGCTCAACTACAAGCCTGAGGAGGAATACCCGGACCTCAGCAAGCACAACAACCACATGGCCAAGGTCCTGACCCCTGACCTCTACAAGAAGCTGCGTGACAAGGAGACCCCATCCGGCTTCACCCTGGATGACGTCATCCAGACTGGAGTGGACAACCCAGGTGAGCCTCCTGTGTGCGGTGGCCTTGGCCTTGGCTTTCCCGGGGTATGGCTCACTGTGAGGAGTGAACCAGTGGACACCGGAAGCTCACGCCTTGCAGCTAAGATTCCCTGACGTGGGGGCTGCTAGGTGCTGCCCATGACACAGCCCCCCTCCCAGGCCTGCAACCCCAAGTCCCCCCACCCAACCTCGTGTTGTTGGATGAAGCTTTGGGCACTGGCACACCCACACACATTCAGGCACACGCCCCACCCAGGCCTTCCTCCCTGAGCACAGCGCTCTTGACCTTCCCGACCCCCAGGGCACCCCTTCATCATGACCGTGGGCTGTGTGGCTGGGGATGAGGAGTCGTACACCGTGTTCAAGGACCTCTTCGACCCCATCATCCAGGACCGCCACGGGGGCTACAAACCCACCGACAAGCACAAGACCGACCTCAACCATGAGAACCTCAAGGTTGGGGGCTCCCTGGGCAGGGAGGGGGAGAGAGAGAGGAGGACACAATGGGGGGAGCACGGGGACAGGTAAGACAGGTGCAAGGGTGTGTGGGTGGAGGGGGTGGGAGGGAGGTGCAGAACAGGTGTGGAGGGGGGTCGCCAGATGCCTGCCATGCCCACATCTCCTGTCGAGTGCCCACTGCTGATCCAGCACCCTGCTAATGTATCTGGAAGGGCAGCAGAGGATGGCCCAAGTTCTGGCCCCCCCGTGCCACCCATGAGGGAGACCCAGCTGGAGTGCCAGGCTTGCAGCTGCAGGCTGGCCCAGCCCTGGCTGTTGGCAGGTAAATGGGGAGTAAAGCAGCGAAGGAAGATCTCTCTCTGCTGCTCTTTCAAGAAGATGAAAATAAACAGCTAAAAAGGAAAAGGAAGGATTCAATAGGAGAGAGAGAGAGAGAAGAGAGAGGTGGAAAGACATGGGGAGACAGAGATGGGGTGAAAGTGATGGGGAGATGGGGATAGCCACAGAGAGGAAGTGGGGCCAGGAGCCTGGAAGGGTCCTGGGGGCTACTGAACTTGCTGGGACGGTGCCCCAGGAGGGTCCACCCAGCTTGATGGCCCCTCTCTGCTCGCCATGCAGGGTGGGGACGACCTGGACCCCAACTACGTGCTCAGCAGCCGTGTGCGCACCGGCCGCAGCATCAAGGGCTACACGCTGCCCCCACACTGCTCCCGCGGTGAGCGCCGGGCAGTGGAGAAGCTGTCTGTGGAAGGTGAGAGCCCTTCGGGCATGGCAATCTTCCAGGGCACGTCCCTAGTCCTCCAAGGCACGGTCCCAGAATTCCCCCCGAACCCTGCCCAGGCACGGCCCCAGTCCTCCCTGGCATGGTCCCAGTGCTCCAGAGCACGGCCCAGCCCTCCAGGGCATGGTCCCAGTCCTCCAGGACGTGGCCCCTGTCCTCCAAGGCACGACCCAGTCCTTCAGGGCATGGTCCCAGGCCTCCCTGGCACGATCCCAGTGTTCCAGAGTACAGCCCAGCACTCCAGGGCACACCCCAGCCCTCCTGGCCACCCTCTTCCCAAACACTTGAGACCTTGTACCCTGTGGGCATTAGAAGAGTGACAGCTGTGTCATTTGTTTGAAGTCTGAGGAGCTGATACAGACCACACACCCTATTCATCCACCCATCCACCCATCCATCCATCCACACACCCATCCATCCATCCACACACCCACCCATCCATCCACCCACCCATCCACCCACCCACCCATCCATCCATCCATCCATCCATCCACCCATCCACCCACCCACCCATCCACCCATCCACCCACCTATCCATCCATCCATTCCCCTAACATTACTAGTTGTTCTGGCCTGAGGGGGTGGTGGCTGGGATTCCCAGGCTGAGTAAGGTAGATGAAGTCATACTGCAGTGTATACCACAGGGTACATAGTATTTCAATGTAGATGAATCGTCTCTGTGTGTATGCATGCATTCCTCACACACCTGACCTCCAGTTTCACACACTTGAACATACATAAGCAATATCTGGGCTCTTGCGGAATAATTCTTGGTGATGGCTCCCCAGTCCCCGAGACCTCGACCTGCAGCCTAGCAGCCGTGGGAGAGGCGGCAGCGGGTTCCCATCCAGGGCAATGGACAGACTTTGGATGTGGGGAGGATGCAGATGCCTGGGGTAGGTGTGGGGAGCACCGGCATGGGCTTCACAGCTGCCTGGGGCAGGCTGCTGACCACTCTCCTGGGGTGTGGCACCCACCCTTAGCCCTCAACAGCCTGACGGGCGAGTTCAAGGGGAAGTACTACCCCCTGAAGAGCATGACGGAGCAGGAGCAGCAGCAGCTTATCGACGACCACTTCCTGTTTGACAAACCTGTGTCCCCACTGCTGCTGGCCTCTGGCATGGCCCGTGACTGGCCCGACGCCCGTGGCATCTGGTGAGGCCCCCCTGCCTCTATCTGACACATCGATCCCACCCCCTACTCCATCCTTGCCTGGCTGTGACCTGCGTGCTATACATGGGGAGTGTTGACCTGCAGCAATGGAGTTGAGAACTCAGACTTAACCTCACTCCCCAGGTTCAAATCCCAGCGCTGTCCTTTACCAGCCAACTGTGTACCAGCTGGGTGAACCATTTAATTTTTCTCTACCTCATCCAACCTCACTAAGCTGTAGATCATTAAGGGTTTTAAAAGGTTTAGACAGCCTAGGGTTCAGAGATGTGCAGACTGGGGGATTTGGAGATGTTAAATATTTAAAATATCGCTATTTAAATATTCTTAGGTTTTTGTGAGTCCACAATTCAAAACAGCCGGAAAGTTTACGGTTCTGGGACGCGCAGGTGCATGTTAAGGGATCACGCAAGGGACACTGCCAAGATGCACCCACTGGGAGCCCCTCAGACGCGCCCGATGCATCTGGTGTGAGATCCAGAACATTACAGTCCCAGAGCCCAGGCTTCACTGGCCCGGGGCTTCAGTTTCTGCATTTTGAGGAGGGGGCACCGCTCACCTAGCGGGGACCCGCGGGGTTTGGGGAGACCACAGGATGCAGGCTGGATGCCAGGTTCACCCCTCGGCCTCTCGCTGCACCCCACCCTAGGCACAACGACAACAAGAGCTTCCTGGTATGGGTGAACGAGGAGGATCACCTGCGGGTCATCTCCATGGAGAAGGGGGGCAACATGAAGGAGGTTTTCCGCCGCTTCTGCGTGGGGCTGCAGAAGGTAGGACTGAGTCCTTGGCTGCTGACGCCTGGCTCCGCCCCCAAACGCCACGCCCATCACCCCGAAATCCCCGCCCAGACATCGCCCCGCTCACGTCCCAAAGCCCACCCTACCTCCTGCTCCAGCCACGCCCACCTGGCACCATTCCACGCCCCAGCTCCGCCCACTTCCCCCAGCTCTACCCACCCCTTCCATGGCTACGCCCACCGCCCATCCCAGCTCCACCCACTTCCTTGCTGGCTCCACCCTATGCGCACGCCCACCCGGACACCACCCACACAAACCCCGCCCACTTATGGTTCCACCCTATGTCCTGCTCACCGCTCTGGCTCCACCCACAGCCTACCCCGGCTCCACCCACACCAGCCCCGCCTGCCCTGGCTCCACCCACACCGGTCCCGCCCACTCATGGTTCCAGTGTCCTGCTCACCCTAGCCCCACCCACAAGGCCCCGCCCACTCCAGCCCCGCCCCGCCCCGTGGGTGCTGCCCGCTCCTGGGGTGTCCGCCGGCGCTGACCTCGGTCTTCGCCCCCACCCCAGATTGAGGAGATCTTCAAGAAGGCCGGCCACCCCTTCATGTGGAACGAGCACCTGGGCTACGTGCTCACCTGTCCGTCCAACCTGGGCACCGGGCTGCGCGGGGGCGTGCACGTCAAGCTGGCGCATCTCAGCAAGCACCCCAAGTTCGAGGAGATCCTCACGCGCCTGCGCCTGCAGAAGCGAGGCACAGGTGCGGGGTTTGGGGTCACGGGCGCCCCATGTGGAAATGGGGTGGGGGCGGTCAGCTCCCGGCTGTGGGGTCGCCCTAGGGGGTCTCCGGTTGTAGGGTCGCTCTCCGGGGCCCCGCCGCCTCACCCCGCCGTCCCCTCTCCTGCTCCCGCAGGGGGCGTGGACACGGCCGCCGTGGGCTCCGTGTTCGACATTTCCAACGCCGACCGGCTGGGCTCGTCCGAGGTGGAGCAGGTGCAGCTGGTGGTGGACGGCGTGAAGCTCATGGTGGAGATGGAGAAGAAGCTGGAGAAGGGCCAGTCCATCGACGACATGATCCCCGCGCAGAAGTAGGAGCTGCGCCCGGAGCCACGCCCACCCGGAGCCACGCCCGCAGCGCTGTCCGCCCCGCCCCGGACCCCGTCCATAGACCCCACCTCTCTCAACTGAGCCCCGCCCACGACGCTGTCTGCCCCGCCCCTCTCGACGGAGCCACGCCCGAACCCCGCCCCCTCTCGGTGGAGCCACACCCCGGACCCGCCCACTTCTGTGTTCCAACCAATGGGCTCCGTTGCCTGAGTCCTGGCCAATGAGAAAGCTTCTTCACACCTCCTGCCCCACTCATTCTCCCCCCCCCCCCGCGCAGCGTGTGCTGACGTGTCTCGAGCGACACGCGCGGCAGCGAATAAAAGCGGTGGCGACGGCGGTCCCTGCCCAGTGTGTGGTCTGACTGGGTGGCGGAAGTCGCGGCCAGTGTCTGCGTTCCGCAGACTCGTGCTGTCCTTGTGTGACACGAAGCCACGCTGGGGGCAGTTTAGTGAAGCTCCCTGGGGCCCCGGGGGGGTCAGGGTCGCCCGGCACCGAGGGAGGGGGGCGGCCAAGGTGTCGAAGGAAAAGAGGGGGAGTACATGGGACACAGTGGAAGCCCCGGGACACAGGGGTTTCAGGGAGATGGCTCCCATGGCGGAGACCCCGAGGCCCCGGGAGTGGCCACAGCCCCAGGCCCGCCTGAGGAGCTCGCCCTCAGCTCAGCTCACCGTGCCTGCCGTCCTCCGCACAGGGCCCCTCCTGACCCTCCCCACCCTGCCGGCATCGCACGCTGCACGGCCTCCGTGCTCCGTGTCCTGGATGTCCACCCAGCCCGCCGCATACCGGCACTGTCCACTCTGAGCCGACCCCCCACTTCACCGTGACCCTCAGGAGGACAGGGGTGTTACGGCCACCCCTGTAACCCCTCCCTCCCATGGCACAGAGCCCCCAGGGCTCCTCAGAAGCTGGCCCTGGACACCCCACAGCAACACCTCCACTGCCTGCTCGCTCAGCTCCCAGTTCTTTCTGCTCCGGGGACCTAAGTCCAGCTCCTGTTGCAGCCCGGCCACTCGCCAGCCCTGCATTGGGCCAAGGACGACCATGCGACACACCCAGCCCTGCCTGCATTAGAAACAGCCCGTTAGACGCTGGGCAGATGGAGGTGTCGGGAGCTCCTGAAACCAACACTCCTGGTGCAGCACCCACAGATGGTGGGTCTTTAGAATGCGTTTCTCCATTAATTCCCATGCCCACCGTATCACCCATGATGCTCTGAGGCTGTTGTACAAACTCCTGCTCCCGGGCCCAGTCCACCCCAACATGTCCTTCCACGCCCGCCCTAGCACTGGGTCCTTCTCCAGCCCTGCCTTTTCTCCCTGCCCCAGCATCCCAGTCAGACCCAGGTCCTCACACTGGGGGCCTCCAAGGACGCCTCAAGTCTCCGTGTTGGGCGCCGGGCCTGGCACAGAGGCGGCACTGGTCATTGAGTGTTTATTGAGTAAATGCGCTACTGGGGCAGAAGTGGCTGAGTCCAGTGTGTAAGTGGCGGATGCGCCAGCGTTCCGTCCTGCCCTCTCCTCTGTCACCTGCTCCCTTCCCGCGCCCTCACCTCCACTCTGCAGATGGGACAACTGAGGCAGGTGCAGGCGGGGAAGGAAGACCCCAGGGGTGGCACGGGGCGGGGAACTGGCCTACGTTTATTGGGTGACAGGCTGCAGGTGAGAGGCTGACAGAGGGTGGGATAATAACTTAAAAACTGGGGCGGGGCGGGGGGCGACAGCGACGGCCCCTCAGGACGTCTGTGGTCTGTGGAGGGACTGGGGGTATTTACAAGGGTTTCTACAAAGTGCCCCGCGCCAGCCTGGGGCAGGAGGGGGCCCGAGCGGGAGGGGAGGAGCTGCCTGACCGCACTCCCAGATTCTCCCCCACCCGAGGCTTCCAGTTTTTAGTCTTAGCAGCTTGTCCTGCCCCCGGCCCCAGGCCTTGCTCCCCAGCTGCTGGGAGGGAAGTGTCTCAGTTTCCCTTCCTGCCCCCCAAGTCTTCCCCAAAGTCAGGGGGTCCAGGTCCAGCTGGAGACGCCTGGGAGGTACCAGCCCGCTCTGCTTGGCACCCCTGGTCCTTGTCCCTCACAGCAGAGGGGCCCCACCCTGGCCCCCAGATCTGTCCCAGGAAAGCTGAGGTGATGATAAGGGGGCACCACAGGAAGATGGGGACCCCAGGCTGAGGCGGCTCAGAGCTCCAGGTCGTTGGAGATACGGGTGACGAGCGTGCGAAAGGCCAGGGCGGTGCCCGCCACTCGGCGGAACAGCACTCCCCGCAGGCCTGGCCGGGGCAGCTGGCACACCTCCACTTCGAAGTGGGACAGGGGCTCGGGCCCGCCAGCACCCCCGTGCAGGCAGGCCAGCAGGAAGGGCTGGGGCTGGCGACAGCGGCAGCGAGCGGCCGCCGTGGCCTGGCGCAGCGCTGCCATCAAGGCCTCGGGCGGCCGTGAGCTGGTCAGCTTCACACTCCAGGGGAGTCGGAGCAGCCGGGGGGCGGTTTCCGCTTGATCCCAAGGTAGATGGCGACTGCCGGCGGGAAGGGGGAGACGAGGAGGTGAGAGACGGGAGCATTGGGACCCAGGAGGGAACTGGGGCAGGTATGTTCTCCCCCAGCTTGGGCCTGAGCAGAAGCGGGGTGCATGCCCATGACCTTGGGCCACAAAAGAGCATGTGACCACTCTGGCCAATCAAGACTCATGTACTTCTCTGGCCCCAGGTATTGGCTCGGGGACAGGCACATGACCTAGTACGAGCCATGAATCAGCCTTGGGACTTTGTGGGAATTCCAGGGAAGTTGTTTCTTTCAGGTCTCTGGCCCGGCAGGGCTTGGCCATCACAGTGGACCACGGCCACACGTGTAGTCTATGCACTGGAAACCGTGAGTGGCTTTTGGGCTACAGAGCAGAGCTGAGCAGGGGAGCTGGGGGTCGGCTGCGTCTCTGGCCTCCGCACTCCCTGCTGCTGGGCGGGACGGGCACAACCCACACCTGGGCCAAGGCTGCCATGGAAGAGGCTTGTGGACCCAGTGCCAACTAGAGGGGCTGCGGGGGCTCTGGGGGACTCTGAGGAGCAGGAGCCCCGGCTGCTGGTGGGGGTGGCATGGAGGCCCGTGGGGCCGGACTCGCACTCACCTTGCGACCTCAGGTCCCCCGATTCTCTCAGGTTCGTCTGTGACCCTGGGGAAGCGAAGGGGGCAGCATGTCTAACCAGAGGTGGGACCCTCCCCACCGCCCCAGCCTGTCTCCCGCTCACGCCCACAGGCCCTGGAATGGTTAGTGCAGGGTGGAGGACAGGAAGAATCTGGAAGATGAAAAGGTCGTGGGACACACACACACACACACACACACACACACACACACACACAGATGCACAGGCTGATTCACACTCAGACACCTCCTGGCTGAGGCTGGCCCCATCAAAGCTGTCCCCTCCCCTGAGCTGCTCATCTCATCCCGTGTGCCTGTCTGACCGTCTGAAGGTCCCACTGGCTGTGGGTCCTCTCGGGTCACAGCCACACACAGGTTCCTTCCCATGCTAGAAAGTGCCTTCCAAAGTGACACACTGGGCCCAGCCCTTGGGACCTCAGTCGCCCAGCCCCATGTCACCCATGTCACCGAGTGACCGCCTAAGGCGCCTGGGCAGCTTCTGTTCACTACCTGAGGACGCCAGCTACCTGGTGCCAACCACGCCACCCCTCCCCACAGGCACAGCTGGGAGACCAGCAGGGGCCCAGGGCACTTACGGATCTTGGATCCCTGGGGCAGAGAGGCGCCCGAGACGCAGCGGTTAGAGTTCTGCCGTTTAGAGGGATCGAGGGTTACCCTGCAGTGCAAGGGGCAGGCGCAGGGTGACAGGACAGGAGGAGGAAGAGAGGGACGCATCAGAGGATAGGAGGCAGAGTAGACAGGACAGATTAAGCCTGCGGCCCCCCCCCCCAGCTGTCCCTGGGGACTCACCTTCGGGTCAGTTTGGAGGTCAGCTTGGTGAAGAGGTTGGTGGTTGGGCGGGTCCGCCCGGCGGGTAGGGGCGCAGCCTCGTGGGCCAGCGTGGGAGAGGCAGGGGGTCCATTCTGTATGCCTCCACCACTGCTGCTCCCCGTACGCCTGTCCCGGACCTGGCCACCGTGGAAGGTACTGCGGATGGTGGAGCCACGGGCTAGGCGGCTCCGCTCACCGGCAGGGGGTGCCAGGCTATGGCTGGAGGGGGAGGCAGGTGGCGCCCGCGCGGTGCCCGAGCTGCAGGAAGAGGGGCACATCATGTCAGCCTGGGCCCCTCACCCCTTTGATCCTTCTCTGTGCTGGCCTGGTGGAGACCAGACCCTCCAGCCATCCGGGGCGGCCTGGCTGTGCCCCGCACAAGCCTGGTGTCGTTTCTCCCAGCTCGCCTCTGCACAGGCGGTTGGGGCAACTCGCTTGTCACCTGCCATTCGTACCTCAGGAACCAAACAATGTGACCCGGGTGGGTTATCTGAATGCTCTTCTGGGTCCACGCAAGGGAGAGAGGCCAAGGTCAAGGGCACTTGGATTCAGGACCATTTCCTGGCAGGGGCAAGTCAAGAGCGAGGGAACTTCCCTCTCATTTTCTTTAGATGCGGCAAGGGCAGTGAGATCTCTGTGGAGAGCAGGGACCAGATTTCCACTTTCTATGTGCCCAGGCCAGCGTGGGTCTCAGCCAGCAAGCCCTGACAGTGGCAGATGGCCGCTGCCTCCCTTGCTTGAGTCCCTCCCCTGGGAATGCAAAACTCAGCTGGAGACTACATTTCCTAGTCTTCCTTGCAACTGGATGTGGTCACATGACTGCCCCAGCCAATGGGACGTGAGCAGAGGTGCTGGGTACATTTCTGGGTCAAGCCTTTAAAAGGCTGGCAGCTTGCCTTCCAGGTCTTTGTCCACTTCTTGCTGGTTGGAAAATGGTTGCAACTGCTGGAGCAGGGAGGCCTGGGGACCCCCTATGGACAAGCCCTTGGGGGACCCTGTGGTCAGACAGCTCTGTCCAAGAGGACTAAACCGCTACCT